CCAAAGTCAGAGGCTTGACCAACTGAGCCACCCAGGCGCCCCTACTTCCAAACTCTATGAAGCCAGCACTACCTTGATTCTAAAACCAGACAAAGACTCCACTAAAAAGGAAAACTATAGACCAATTTCCCTGATGAACATCGATGCAAAAATCCTCAACAAGATATTAGCCAACTAGATCCAACAATACATTAAAAAAGTTACTCACCATGACCAAGTCGGATTTATATCTGGGATGCAGGGCTGGTTCAATATCTGCAAAACCATCAATGTGATTTGTCACATCAATAAAAGGAAGGACAAGAACCACAGGATCCTCTCAATAGATCCACAGAAAGCATTCGACAAAATACAGCATCCTTTCCTGATAAAAAACACTCAAGAAAGTAGGGATAGAAGGATCATACTTCAAGATCATAAGAGACATATGAAAGACCCACAGCTAATGTCATCCTTAGTGGGGAAAAACTGAGAGCTTTCCCCCTAAGGTCAGGAATAAGACATGGATGTCCACTCTTGCCACTGTTATTCAACATAGTATTGAAAGTCTTAGTCTCAGCAAACAGACAATACAAAGAAATAAAAGGCATCCAAATCAGCCAGGAGGAGGTCAAATTTTCATTCTTCGCAGAAGACTTGATGCTCTATATGGAAAACTGAAAAGATTACACCAAAAAAACAAACAAACGCAAGAACTGATCCATGAATTCAGCAAAGTCGCAGGATATAAAATCAATGCACAGAAATTGGTTGCATTCCTATACACCAATAATGAAGCAACAGAAAGAGAAATCAAGGAATTGATCCCATTTACAATTGCATCGAAACCCAGAAAATACCTAGGAATAAATCTAACCAAAGAGGTGAAAATCTACACACTGAAAACTGTTGAAAGCTTATGAAAGAAATTGAAGAAGATACACACACACACAAAAGGAAAAATATTCCATGCTCCTGGATAGGAAGAACAAATATTGTTAAAATGTCAATACTACCCAAAGCAATCTAAATATTCAATATAATATCTATCAAAATAACACCAGCATTCTTCACAGAGCTAAAACAAACAATCCTAAAATTTGATGGAACCAGAAAAGACGTTGAATAACCAAAGCAATCTTGAAAAAGAAAACCAAAGCAGGAGGCATCACAATCCCAGACTTCAAGCTGAATTACAAAGCTGTAATTATTAAGACAGTATGGTACTGGCACAGAAACAGACATTCAGATCAAAGGAACAGAATAGAGAACCCAGAAATGGACCCAGAAATGTATGGCCAACTCATCTTTGATAAAGCAAGAAAGAATATCCAATGGAATAAAGACCGTCTCTTCAGCAAGTGGTGCTGGGAAAGCTGGAAAGCGACATGTAGAAAGATGAACCTGGACCACTTTCTTACACCATACATAAAAATAAACTCAAAATGGATGAAAGACCTAAATGTAAGAATCCATCAAAATCCTCGAGGAGGAAGCAGGCAAAATCCTCTTTGACCTTGGCCGCAGAAACTTCTTACCCAACATGTCTTTGGAGGCAAGGGAAACAAAAGCAAAAATGAACTATTGGGACCTCATCAAAATAAAAAGATTCTGTACAGTGAAGGAAACAATCAGTAAAACTAAAAGGCAACCATCAGAATGAGAGAAGATATTTGCAAACGACATATCAGATAAAGGGTTAGTTAGTATCCAAAATCTATAAAGAACTTATCAAACTCAACACCCAAAAAACAACCCAATGAAAAATGGGCAAAAGACATGAATAGACACTTCTCCAAAGAAGACATCTAGATGGCCAACTGACACATGGAAAATGCTCAACATTACTCATTGTCAGGGAAATACAAATCAAAACAATGAGATACCACCTCACACCTGTCAGAATGGCTAACATTAACAACTCAGGCAACAACAGATGTTGGCGAGGATGTAGAGAAAGAGGTCTCTTTTGCACTGCTGGTGGAAATGCAAACTGGTGCAGCCACTCTGGAAAACAGTATGGAGTTTCCTCAAAAACTTAAAAATAGAACTACCCTACGGTCCAGCAATTGCACTACTAGGTATTTATCCAAGGGATACAGGTATGCTGTTTCGAAGGGACACAGGCACCCCAATGTTTATAGCAAAACTATCAACAATAGCAAAAGTATAGAAAGAGCCCAAATGTCCATTGATGGATGAATGGATCAAGAAGATGTGGTACATATATACAATGGAGCATTACTTGGTAATCAAAAAGAATGAAATCTTGCCATTTGCAACTATGTGGATGGAACTAGAGGGCATTATGCTAAGCGAAATTAGTCAGAGAAAGACAAATATCCTATGACTTCACTCATATGAGGACTTTAAGATACAAAACAGATGAACATAAGGGAAGGGAAGCAAAAATAATATAAAAACAGGGAGGGGGACAAAACACAAGAGACTCTTAAATATGGAGAACAGAGGGTTGCTGGAGGGATTGTGGGAGGGGGATGGGCTAAATGGCTAAGGGGCATTAAGGAATCATTGTTACATTATAAGCTAACTAACTTGGATGTAAATTAAAAAAATAAATTAAAAAAAATGCCCAAACAGAAAAAAAATGTATTGAGCACTCACTACGTGTCATGTACTCATAGGTGCTGGGGAGTGGTGATGAACAGGATAGTTAAGATCATTCTGTAATTTTCAGTTTTCTCATCCATAAAATAGATACAGAATTATAGTATCTCCCACATTAGCACTATGCTTGGTTCAGAGTAGGCACTAAACAAATGTTAGCTATTATAATGAATTGACTTCGTCCATTGTTGATCTAATTTCATCTATTTGATGATTTTGGTCTTTCAATTCTGCTTTAAATAAAAATGTGTGCTCTCCATCTATCTATTCTTCCCAATCCACTTCCTGGTGTTACCACTCATTGTTAATATTATTAGGGTATTTGAAGTTTTGGAGAGAAGAGAATATATGAAGTCAAAGCAAAGATAAAATTAAAGTGGTTAGGGGTATGTTTTTCAGATTAGGCTTTTATATACTTGAGTATTCTAAGATCTAAAGTTTATATTCATATAGATTTTTATTGATGATTATGTCCTGGCTTAAGATTGTGTTATAAACTGCAGGCAACTAAAGAAAAATTTCTAAATTAAAAAAATATATATTAGATCTTAAACTGATTTAATATTAAACAATACTAGAAACTCCTTAATATTCTATCCCAATAATCTTGCCTGTCTTACAAACTGTGTATATGTAACATTTTATCTGTAAGTAAGAGCATGTCTTCTCTTCATTCTACTCCACCCACTCATGTTCTCAGATGCTAATGGCTTGGTCTGATAAATGTACAGTTCATTCTAAGCCCATACCATAAATTTATCATTAATTTCCCAAACTTTGCTTTCTGTGTAGACTGTAATCAAAGCTTATAGCTTATTATATAAAAATTATTTTAATGTTACAGTACCAAAAGCAACTAAACTAAAGATTATTCATATAGCTTGCAAAATAATACTTAAAACTTATTGGGATAAGTTTTGTGAGATAAATTACAGTAAGTGATGCTTTGGGTTAAGTTTATTTTCAAGTGTTTACTCAAAAACATAAAACACAACATTTCTATTTCCTTGTTTGTCCCTTATAGATTTTGAGAAGACTAAAACAATTATTCAAGTATTAGCATTAATTGTAAGCATCCCATCTATCTTACGGGTTTACGTTGCATTTCAATACAGTTTTGTCCACTAACAATATAGTAAATTATTTTTATTATACATTCCGGGTAGGATTAAAATAAATAACATAGAAATAATTTAACAAATCATTAGGGAAAAGCTACTATATTCCAGGTTTTGAGAACACATAAATAAATAAATGGTCCCTGCCTTTAAGAAGCTCACATACCTGGGGCGACTGGGTGGCTCAGTAAGTTGAAGATCTGACTCTTGATTTTGGCTTAGGTCATGATCTCACAGTTCATGAGATTGAGCCCTGCGTTTGGCTCTGAGCTGACAGCATGGAGCCTGCTTCGGATTGTCTCTCTACCTCTCTCAAAATAAATAAACAAACTTAAGAAAAAAAAGAATCTCATAGTCTAAAGTGGGGCGTGGGGACGAGGCACATGAATAAGACTGACAGTTTAATGTAGTAGACAGCTTTGAGAATGGTATGTACAAAGAACTATGGGAATTTTAGGATTAAGGGCCACTTAATCCAGAATGGTATAATCTAGGGATGGTTTCCAGGTCCAGAGGATAAGTTTTACAAAAGAAATTGCCAAGAAGAGAGTTAATGGTGGCTGAAAGGTATTCCTCTAAAAGGGATTGTCACCTAGTCCTAGAGAACACTGCCTGATCTTCAAGGCTCCTTTCAACAGATCCTCATCTGAATAGAGCGAGGCATCTTTTCAGTATTATGCCTATTTGTTAAATACTGATTTCCTGGATTCTTATTTTTTGTGCTACAGAGCACAATTTAAGAGAAAATGCCATACTGACTAAAATGTTTCATAGGCACTTTTTACTATGGTGCTGACCACAGATTCAGAATGAACAATCTGGTATAGTGGGTACTATACCATCTACTTTTAAGAAAAAGAGAACAAAAGTTTAAGATTCCTGGGAAGCTACAAATTTAAACAAGTCAGGTATATAGGGTTCCCTACATAATACATTTCTTCTCCTTTTTTTTTTTTTTACATTTTCTTTTCTTTTAAATGTGGGGAAAACAAAAAGGATCAAAGTCCTTCACCTTGGTTATCTATAAGCAGTACACTAGATGGTGCTGGAAGGCTGTTAGAACGTGTTTACCAAGAAAACCAGTGTGGCAGTTCTGACAGCTGTCCCTGAGAGGGGTTCCAGGTCTGTAGGCAAGTAAGGGGAATCCTACTTAGTCTTACAATTTTGGTCTTTCAGTCAGATTAATTTTAAACTAAACCACAAGTTTAGTACATTTTAAAATGGGCTCACTGTTTGACAATTCAATCGGATTCCCCTGAAATGGACATTTCAAAGTTATCAAAGTATAAATTTATTATACATTTCAGCATGTTGCTATTAATTTCATTTAGGTAGTCTTCCTAATTATGTCTACTCCTAGTTATGAGCCTAGTTATGTCTACTGCTTAATGAATCACTAATCAGTTTCTTCATATGGTTTCCTGAATTTTTAAATTACCACTAAGCAGAAAATATCAATCAAACTCTCTTGTCATTAAAGTACTGCAATATACTAATATAAATACATGAAGCAATACATTTTGAAATCACTCTATCAGTATAGTATTTCTTACATAAATAACATATCATGATTTTTCCACATTACAGTAAAGCCAGAATTTTTATGAAAGTGCAGGATAAAAACAAAGCTGGACTTTTACAATATTTTCTTTTGAATGTTAAACAAACCGAAGAGTCATTTTAGTTTTAAACTTTCAAATTACAAGATGTGTTTGTAATTTTTCAGCTTATCTCTCCAGTTCTGCTTCTAGAATTTCCCCCCATGTATCTACATCCATGGGGTACATGATTTTTTCTGGTAGGCTAAGAGGAGAACATATGTTGCTGTATCTGCCACTTAGCCATTCATGTTTCACTTTACTCTTCTGGTAATTCCTCCGTAGTATTACCTGAAAGAGGTAAATCATCATTGTTAAAAAATGGAGTAGGTGGTTAGTCAGTGAGTTTGTTTAAAACTAGAGAAGCTGAATGATAGGGCTGAAAAGAAGATTAAATATTTACACTGATATACACATAGACGAATACCTTTGTGATGAGCCTATGTGTGTGTGTGAGTGGATGTGGGTATAGGTGTACGTATATGTACACATACAGAGTGAGCTAGAGTTTGCTGTGAGTTTTGGAGAAGGTGGAATGAAGTAGCTAACAGAGGAATATGCCTGAGTTTAGTATTTAAAAAATGTAAAAGGATGGATGGGATGGTGTGGTTTGTAAGATAAGAATATTAATTCGACTTCAAGGCCGAAAGCCAACACACTCTGTATATGAAATCCTACCTCCTCCCTGCAGAAGGCAGAGTTGACTCAAACCTATCACCATATTGTGAAGAACACCGCAGACTTCAAAGACTAAACTTACTCTCCAGGAATATCCACTCTTTAGATCGTTGTCTACTTCTCTTTGGCACACAGCTCTTAGGGTCAAGCAGTGAGGTTTCCACAAGGAGTCACTGTTTCTTACTGTGTAATTCCAGCTCCTGCATGTTATGGAAGCCCTGCACAAGCTCTGCATGTCCAGCTGACTAAAAATTTTAAAAGTGACTTCTGGAGGCAGCAGTTCAACAAAATTATTCTGACTCTCTTTTTTTTCCTTCTCAGCATCCACAGAATTCAATTTTATGCCAGAAACTCTTGAATTATTGTTCCTCTTGGGGCTTTTCTGCATAGCTTGATGTTTTAGCAAATTATCCAGATATGTAACCTAAAAGGCAAAGTTTAAACATGCTCAGTCTCCTCAGCTCCGACTATAGAACCTACTCTGAGCCAGATATTTTCTGGGTATGATTTAAGAACCTTAACTTTCCTGACTTGAGGTTTTTCAATCTGTAAAATGGGGCCAATGACGCTCTTTTCCTGTGTGTTCTTACAAGGATTAACAGGGATAATGTGTAAACCATTTAGTTTCATCTAAATTGCACATGGGAGGCACTCAACACGTTACTTCCCTTCTTTTTGAATGTTTTTTGGTAAATGGGTTTGTTTCTAAACATTCATGTTTCTGCTCCTGAAGTACATTATCTAAAAAAGAGAAATGATTTCCCAGACTATAATTTGAGTTTAGTAGTAGGAATAACCATTGTGGGAACATGTTTGATTCCAAGCATTTGCTGAAAATACTTTTGAAAATGTGTATGATTCAATTCTCTTAAACTACTAAATACTTTTCTGTGGGAATTGATGTCGTTAAGTTCTTCATCTCCAATTTGTGACTTAGTCATAACCCTGATGGACTTTTGTAGTTTATATGATAATTGTTATCTACTTGTACCTAATAGGTCGGTGCTCACAGTTGACACAAATACTATCTGAAATGGACAAGAGGTTAAAGTCCAGGTTATAATGACACAAAGTCTCAAATATTCAATTCAGTTATCAGTGTTTTAGAAATAGCCTCTTGAAGCTACCCTATATGCATAATTATGAACTAAGAACAGTAGTCATTGAGGCCATAAAGCAACAGTAACAAGCAACTATAAACAATGTTTATAATTCAGTTAGGTAGAGCATATAATTACAGACTGAAAGTCCAGTTTCAGCTAATTTTCCTGTGGCTTATGCTTCCAAAATGAGTTGAAAGCATGGAGCTATTTTTGAACATAAGGACAGCTCAGATTACTCAAAATCAGTTTATCCCACGTTGCACTTCCTTTTATAATGGGGGGGGTGCTGGGTTACAGTGCAGGAAGAAGGGTTTCCTAAATACTTCTTTTTAACTCAGCTAATGATGATTCCCTTTTCTAGATATGCTACTCACCTCTGTTTCTGGACTTGTCAAAGCCACAGCTGCTCCCATTCATTTGGTTGTTTATGATCCAAATTAGCTACGGTGGTTAGAATTTTAATGTCTGTGTTCAATAGAGGGCTTCCTCTCGAAGTTTTAGGGAAGTAAGAAAGCAAACTGACAGAAACAAGTTCGAGTCAAGAGCAAATTTTTGTCAGGAACTCATCTCTCTCAACATCAGTACAAACCAAACCCGAATTACTATATTTCTGAAAAAAAAAATTCTCACATTAGGAGAACATTACTGTTGCATTTAAACATTTGTTACTTCTCCCAGAATCTCACTGGGGAATAAAATGTGTCCTCTCGTTAAGAGTTCTTTCCCAGGAGGAAAACGAATTTTTTAATTTAACAGTTGGGGCGCGCCTTGGTGAAGTTCCTAAACTCACGCTAAGCATCTTCTTCTAAGTCCAGTTTTGCCTGGATACCTGGAAAACTATCCCTCTTCTGCCCCTTCTTCTTCTTTATGAACCAAACTTTGCTCAATTACCAGTCGAGTTAGGGAAGAGCTCGCCCCACTTTCAGATCGGGGGGCGGCGCACCCCGACCCCACAGGTGAGAAGGATCGACTCCACATCGCTTCTGAGCCGCCCTCCTTGAGGATCTCGCGCACTCTGAAGCTGCCCGAGTCGAAAGAACATGGAGCAGTGACAAATAAGCGACAATAACAACCATCAGCACCGACTGTCACCGCAGCTCCAGGAGGCTGAGCTGAGGCTGCGCCGTCCAGACGTCAGCGGGAAGGGAAAACCCTCCTACCTCCAATGCCGCGGTCGCTTCTCCGGCGAATTAAATCCTTTGGAATTCGAATCCTTCGCCATACTCCCTCCAGTTCCGCCCACTGTAGTCCCGCCTTGCTGCCTCCGGTTTCGCACAGGCGTAGAGAGGAGCGCGCGTTGCCTCTTGGGAGTGGTAGTTTCATCTGGGCGTCTCAACTCAGCAAGAGAGGAGAAGGAAGGCGCCACGGACTACAAGGCCCGACGTCCTCCATGACGGGTGGGCGGTGAAAAACGGTGAGGGGGTGTTAAACCGGGGCTTTTAAAAGGTAATTTTGAGGCGGAGTGTTGGAGAAATCCCCGCGCTTGTCGCTGGCCGGAGGGTAGAGGCGGGGTTCTGGACGCGGCGCCGGAGCTCCTACTGCGGCAGGCCTGGACGCACAAGAGCGGAGCCTGTGCTACTCCCCCCTGCGTTTTTTCCGAGGGCCTGCCTAGGTCCCGCGCGTGTCCATGGAAGGCGGAAGCGGCTGCGGCGACCGTCCCCTTGCCAAGAGGTGTAGTCTTCGCCGCCATGTCCGGGGGCTTCGAGCTGCAGCCGCTGGACGGTGGCCCCCGAGTGGCCCTTGCGCCCGGGGAGACGGTAATCGGCCGCGGGCCGCTGCTTCGAGTAAGTGTGGCAGGGGACTCGGCCGGACCCAGAGAGCTGAGCCGAGGTCCTGTTTGTCTCCTGAAGCCCCGTTTCTGGCTTCCCCACCACGCCGGCCCTGCCTGTCTGGATTTTAGAAGTTGGGGAGCAGCACGTTTTTCAGTAAACTTTAATCAGGTCTCAAACGTTTTCTAGTATTGCCCTTAATAAGCACTGACTTGTATGATCATTATTATAGTCTTATCCAGGGGTCGGCAAACTATGGCCCTGGGTCCAAATCCAGTCTCTTTTTGTATGGCGCCATGCCCTAAGGATGGTTCTTGAGTTTTAAAATGTGAAATGTAAACAAACAAAAAACCTATTAGCTTTTTAGGAAGAATAATTGGCCCAAAGGTTGAGGATATTGCCTCTTGGCCTGACAAGGCACAGTATTTACAGTAGAATTTAGCCCTTTACAGGAAAAGTTTGCCAACCTCTGATTCTATCTTTCCTAGAATGATTTCTTTTAAGCTTTTGGCTTCTTGTGGGACTGTATGGGCCTTTTATGGAATAGTCTTTTTCAGTAATATCAGCTGCCAACCCTTAATGTAGTGTGTAGTGTTCCAGGCATTGATCTAAGGACTTTACGTGTCCCAACTTTTTAATCACTTCAAAATCGTAGGAGTTAGGTGCTCTTATTATCTTCATTGTTTGGAAGAGAAAATTGAGCCATAGAACAGTTCAGATAAACTTTTGGATATGTAGTGCCATTAAGCTATATATTTTCCACCATCTTTGGGATGTTTAGGAGTTAGAAAATTTTCCTGTTGCATTCTTGAATTTTATAGATCTCTACCTAAAACAGATACATTATTTTTTGTAACATTCAACATATTTTGTTTAGTGTCCACTTTGTGCAGCATCTTTGCAGACGGTAGCACAGTGGGGTTACAAAGATAAATGAGATATAGGTCTCTGCCCTCTAGGAATTTTCTCTTGAGCTCTGGAGACAAACCTGTCAGTGAGCTAACACCAGCCAGTAAGGAGTATGGACTGTTATCCTGGCTAGCCTCCAGTGTCTACATGGAAGCATTGGTATTATTAGCCTTAGGATCCTTCTCAGAGCAGGTTAAGGAGTGGTGCTTGGGGGTTCTGATGCTGACATCAGCCCTAACGTGGTATGTGTGTACGTTTATGGATATGCAATAAGGTTATTGAGACAGTTGTGAAGTTCATCTGCTCTTTATTTTTTTACTGGACAGATAATTACTTAAATGTTTAAATAACATTGTAACCTTTTTCCATAGTTTGTTAGTTTACACAAACATTTGAGAGATTTGTTTCCTTCTTCCCTCCCTCCTTTCTCCATATATATTTAAATATATGTGTGTGTATATATACATACATATACATATATATGAGATTTAAGAGTATGTGTTTCATCTAGAAACCTTATGTCTGTTGACAAGTGACTTTTGATTGCTTAACAAATTGAATCACCAATATATAGAGTACTGTGGATCTAAGGGTTGATGAATTTTAGGCCCATGTTTTATAAACATGGCAGCAGGTTGCAGATCCTTTCATTATTTGTAGCTTGATCTTTGTATTATACGCTTGCTAATGTGAGATGAGCTTACTTGGTTTTCTGTCTTAAAATAGTAAGGAGTAAAAAGTTAGTCTATGTGGTCAGAATTTTGCTTCTCCTTTTCAAATCATTCTGTGATGAGATTCTCTTGCCAAGTTTGGCAGATATTAGAAGTGGTTATGAACGGTGTCCTAGGTGTGTTTAAGGGAAAAAATCAACTTGTGGTTTTTTAAAAAAGATACTCTTTCTTTGCAGTGGTTAAAACTCAACATGAAGGTGCTGTTTCAAACAGCAGCAATTCCAGTGAGGCTTTTTTTTGTAGTGTGAAAGCAAAGACTTAATTCAAGTGGGAAAACTCAGGATGTTCGTTGTAAATTACTCATAATGTGATTATTAATTAATTATGTTTAATAATTAATAATGACTTTTGAATTCATTTAACAGGTTGTGTTTTTTGGAGACAAATTTCACAAGCCTTCATGGCCACACAAGCATAAAGATTTTTAATTCCAATGTGTAAAAGGGGCTTGGTGGTGAAACAAGTTGATGAGAATGTCTTTGTCTTTACAGTGGCAGGAGAGCACTTATCCAGAACACTTACAGATAACAGAGTACAGTGAAATTTAATGTTCTTGTGCCATTTGCTTTAGTGGGAGTCATCAGTGAACCCAAGGTCTTTGGTTACTTTACTAGGTTGTAATTGTGCTTTATGATCTATACCAATTAAAGGTTTTACACCAGGATGAATCTTCATGGAATTATCCTGGCTGAAAACAGCCAATCCCAAAGGTTACATATTGTATGAATTTATTTACATAACATTATTGAAATTACAAAATTGTAAACATGGAGATCAGATTAGTGGTTGCCAGGAGTTAAAAGAAGTGGGGAGGGGGGTAGGAGGATATTGGTATGACTATAACACAGCAACAAGAGGCATTTGTGTGGTGGTGGGAATGTTTTGTATCTTGACTGTATCGATATTAGTATCTGGTTGTAATACTGTACTATAATGTTATAAGATGTTACTGCTGGGGGAAACTGGGGCTATGGTACAAGAGATCTTTGTGTATTATATCTTCCACCTATATGTGAACCTATAATTATCTTAAGTAAAAAATTTGATTTTAGAAAAGGTTTTACAGTACAACATCTCAAGCAAGGGTACCTTTAGGCCAAACTATTTGGTTTTTCTTTAACTTACGGCCAAAAATTTATGGTTTTTCTTTAATTAAAGCTGATTATATAGTCTTTTAGAAAAGCTGTTTATACTCTTAAATGAAAACCACTGTTTCTGATTTCAAATTTTCCTTTTTCTGTTTTGATGGAGATCATATGACACATTCCTTTCTGATCTTTTTCCTCCAAGGAAATAGGACAACCCTAGCCATCTAGTGAGTCTTCCTAAGGGCAGGTATCATGGAATCGACTGCTTCAATTGAAAGGAGAAGAGGCCCTCAATTGTGGGTAGGGATAGTCATGGGCTCTTGTATATACCTTCCCTGGCATCACTTTGCCATTTCTAAGAATGCTGTACATGTCCTACAAAGTTTATACAAACTAGCCAGTAACCACTCCCTGGCCTGGCAACTCTGTGTTGTTTCTGCCTTTTACAGAATCTCACTGGCCTTTCTGGAACCTAGTCTCTAGGGATGTGCCTAGCACTCCTCGCTCCTGGGTGTCTCCGCCCCCCCCCCCCCCACCTTGCACCTTAATTTTTGAGTCTAGTATAGTGCCTAGCACGTAGTAGGCCTTCAAAGCACAGGATCTCTCCTTTTTCTATGTCTCTGCTTCTCATTCTTCCAACCTTCAACAAAAGCCTACTTGTAACTTACGTGTGAAAAGGATATAAAATTTTGAAGTGAACTTAAGCAGTGCTACCAACTGCTAAAGCTTTCAGAGCAACATTCATGATGGATCGAATGTTAGGATTTTTCCTATTTTATTGACTAATAATTTAGTAAATTCAGATAATAGTTGAATATATTTTGTGGTCAGAATGGAGGGATGAAAGAGAAACAAGTCATTACTCTCAAGAAACTTACAGTTTCCTGGGTTTGAGAGTCAGAGAAACAAGTAACTAAACAGCATTTGCAACATCAAATGGGGACTGGAACCAGGCGAGCACCTGAGTGACTGAAATGGGAGGGTATAGGAAAAACAATGCAGGGATGATGGTAAATAAATCACAGCAGTGTCATAGATGACAGCTGCCTCAGTGTTGGAAAGGCCACAAGGAAAATGATCTGTAATGTGGTCCCCGCTATTCACCCCCATGCCCACCTGGTAACAGTGTGCTACGGTTATTTTTAAGATTAGTAAGAAATCTGGGGGTGGGGTGGAAAGAGTAGTAAGAAATCTGAATTTTTAGATATAACCTCCAACTTCTGAAAGGTCATGTTGAATTAAAAATTCTGTTTCACTGCTATGAGCCAAACAGAAAAAAGATGTTACATGATACAGAGAGATATAGGAAGGAACCCACAATTATGATGAGAGGTTCTGGAAGGCTTCCTGACTCAGTGACATTGAGTTGACTTTGGAGTGTCAGAAAAGTTAGAAGTTTGGTAGGTGGAGAGTGGGTGGTAGAGAGGGAAAGGCTCTTCAGCTTAAGTGGATGTATGATTTCCTGGCTGCAAGACAGAAAGTGTATGACATATTGGATGATTGGATAAGTGCTGACCAGGCTTGTGGGATAATCACATTGCATCACTGATCCCTTTTTAACTCTTACGGACTTTGCTTTTACAGTATTTATTTTTCTCCTTTAAAATAGGCTTTATTTTTTTTGAGGAGTCTTAGGATCACGGCAGAATTGAGTGCGAAATACAAAGAGTTTTCATATACCTCTGTTCCTCACCCCACCTTCCTTTGCTATTGATAATCTCGCACCACAGTGTTATAGTCAGTGAACCTATATTGACTTGTCATTATCATCCAAAGTCCATAGTTTAACACTAAACTTTACTCTTGGTGTACATTCTGTGGGTTTTGACAAACGTACAATGACACACATCAGGTATTATAGTATCACACAGAATAGTTTCACTGTCCTTAAAAATCCTCTATGTTCTTTCTGTTCTTTCTTCCTTTCCCAACCCCTGACAACTACTGAACTTTTTACTGTCTCCATAATTTACCTTTTCCAGAATATCATATAGTTGGAACTATACAGTGTGTATATATAGACTTTTTTAGGCTGGCTTCTTTCACTTAGTAGTAGTATTTAAGATTCCTCCATGTCTTCTCATGGCTTTTTACTGATGGGTCATATTGCAGTGTCTGAATGTTCCACAGTTTATCCTTTTATCTGCTGAAGGATCTCTTGGTTACTTCCAAGTTGTGGCAATTATGAGTAAAGCTGTTACAACCATCCACGTGCAAGTTTTTTGTAGACATAAGTTTTCAGTTCATTTGGAGGAAATACCAAGGAGCTTAATCGCTGGACCATATGTTAAGAGTGTGTTTGGTTTTGTAAGAAGGTGCCAACTGTCTTTCAACGTAGCTGTACCATTTTGTATCCCCACCATCCATGAATGATTTCCTCTTGTTCCACAACTTCACCAGCATTTGGTGTTCTCAGTGCTTTGGGTTTTGGCCATTCTAATAGGTGCATAGTGAATTACTTTTCATATGTACATATGTTCATGCATATTTTACATATATTGATTTATTTCTAAATCAAATCTTTCCAAATTATCTCCCATATACTGCTCAGCCTGAATATGCCATCTTCTCACATGCTTCTGTACCTCTGTCTGCCTTCCTTCCACTGGGAATTTGATTCTGTAGGTAGCATTTGGATATCTGTATTTTTAAAAGCTCTGAAGATGATTCTGTTGTGAACCACTTCTAGACACACTAAGAATGCTTGGCACAGAAGAAGTCTTTAAGAAATGTTTGCTGAGGGGCGCCTGGGTGGCTTAGTCGGGTAAAGCGTCCGACTTTTGCTTAGGTCATGATCTCGCGGTTCGTGGGTTCGAGCCCCGCGTCGGGCTCTGTTCTTACTGCCAGCTCAGAGCCTGGAGCCTGTTTCAGAGTCTGTGACTCCCTCTCTCTCTGACCCTCCCCTGCTCACGCTGTCTCTCTCTCTCTCTCTCCTAGAAATAAATAAAACATTAAAAAAATTAAAAAAAAAAAGAAATGTTTGCTGAACTGAATTAAATAATTATTAAATAACTTTAATTTATTGAAGTCCCAAGTGGAGATTTAAACCCAGTTTTGACTTCCTAAGCTCTGCTTATGTTTTTACTCATTATGTTGCCTCAGTCACATCAATGGTGAGGATGATGTTCTCACATTTTGTATAGCATTCACTTCATAAGTAGCATTGCAAGCCAAACAGGTTGGGTGAGTTGAAATTTCAGTGGTGTCAGATCAGCCAAGTTTTATCATATTGGCTAACTATTCAGCAGACTTGAATTAGGAGCTCAGAAGGTATTGCATTTTACTTTTTAAAATCTAAGTGATCCATATTTCATCAGTATTGTAGATTAAATTGACATTTGTGAGGTGACCTGATAACCTGACTACTATTATATCATTAGTCTTATGGGAAAGTATTTCAGAAGTTTCCAAGACCATTTCACATCCAGTGTTTTAATAACCTTTTAAAGAATCTTACTGGAATCTGTCTAGAGAGCCTCTGGCAAAAATCAAGTTTGTTTCTCAAATTTGCCCTTTGTTAATATCAGAAAATGAACTTTGGTACATTCCAAGTACAATAATATTAAACACCTTGTGTCAACTAACTTTTGCTCTGTTGGGAAATAAGATCGACTTATCTAATGTTGTGACAGTCTCAAGGTTGATTGAGCTCTGTGGAGTGCGTCTTGAACCTGGTAACTGGGAAGTACTCTAGATAAGAAAATTTTATGGTTTGTCAACAAGTTTATCAACAATCAGTCTCTATTTAATTTGGGTTTTAATTTTAGATTTTGTGTATTTGCCACGTATACACACAAAAGTTTGAGGAAGTCATTTTATGCAAATTATGCCTAGTGTAGAGCCTATGCGTCTTTAGGTTTATGCATTTTCTCATGATACAGCCTCAAATCTCCTAACAGATGTTTTTTTATTTTTCTCTACTGCAGAAGTTTGAGTTTGTCTGTTTTTTATTTGTCTGTTGCTAATAGAGCAAACTAGATAATCTTATATGAAAGCACTGTAAGTTATGAAGTTTTGTACAAGAAAATTTTTATTATCTTAGCCTTTGGTGACGTGTGTAATTTATATTGGAAAAAGCAAATCTTGCTTCTTTGTTCTTATGTTCATGGGAGCAAGGCTACATGGGGATATTGTATTTATGAGATGTATTATACCTGCCTGTGATATTTAGAAATTTCTCTAGGAAAACATTTTAAGAAAAATGGACCTTTGTTGGTTTTTTAGTAAATATATATAGGAAAAAATGAAATGAAAGGTACAAGTTTATTCTGTTTTAAGGTCCTGTAGCTTTTCTGCTTTTATTTTATTCAGGTTTTTTATTTTTAGAATTTTGGAAATAATAAATAGGTCAGAGACCTTGAGTCAAAACATCCAAGCATTTCTGCCAGTAGCCTAAGAAATCTTCATTTTGTTTGACTTCAGTAAATGTCAAAAATAAATTTTTGGCAAACAAGTCACAAACAGTTCTTTTATCTTTTCATATCTTTATCTTTTCTTCTAGCACAAACTTCATGTCTTAAAAATGAGACATGAAGACAAGGAGAAAGGACTTGTCCTTATCAGGAAACATTCAATTCAGAACCAGAAAATCAAAGAGAAGGCATCCACATTGTATCAATACAAAAGACAGAGTCCTGTTCCCATTCAAGAAACAGTATGAAGAATTCAAGTAAAAAGGATTTGTTCTGTAATGTCTGAAGAATTGTGGTCATTTCAGCTGTTGTTAACAAAGGATAGGAGTGATTTCAGCATTATCCGTTAGCCTGCATATGCTTTAGCTCCTGCTATATGCTGTGCAGTGTTTGTTAATACTAAAAAAAATTCTTGTGCTTGAATGCTCACATTTGGTTAGCTTCTCTGCTTTCTAATATTCCTTCTCTGACTGGCTGAACATAAATGAGTTTGTTATTAGATGTCCAGTATTGTTGAAGTAAAGGGTATTAATCATAATTGCTTTTGGCTGCAAGTAACTGAGATGTGACAAACAGCAGCTCAGTCAAATTGGGGTAGCCCAGGGGCAGTCAGTCCAGGGCTGGTACAGATACTCAAGGAACAGGCTCTTCTTCCTTGATCATCCTTTGCACGTGGTTCATGCCAGTAGTTGAGATGGCTGCCGTACGTTGAAGTATCCCATTTAAGCAGGAAGAAAAGAGAAAGGCAGAGGGCAAAATAAGGTCCATGGCGGTTGAGCCTGTTTCTTGTTATCTTGAAGACAATAATCTTTCCAGACACTCCACTGTTTTAAAATGGAGGTTTTGTTGTTTCGTTCAGGAATGCTGAAGCCAACAGATCAGATGATTGCCTCTGAAAAGATAATTTATTACTCACAGTTCCCAAGAGAAAGAAAGCAACATCATGCCACGGCAGGGCCACATGAAGTTGGTGGAAGGCAGAAGGCAGAGAGCTAGGGGAACTACAGGAAAGCCTTTCTTACGGTTTTCTCAGGAATGAATGGGCAAGGCAAGGTAAGCAGGTATAGTGTGGTCTAGTTTGAATCATTTTATGGGCCTCTGAGCTGCACAGGGTGTCCCTAGTTGTCTGATGCCTAGTCCTGGGGTGATTAGCGGAGCATAAGAGCCAGGTAAAGCCATCATTGGGGGTACAGGCCTTAGACTGGTTAGTTTGCATATGAAGCGTATACTTGTAGGTGAGTAGATTACTGTCTCTAAGAATCTGATAATCCTTGGGGTAGTCCTTCCGTAGTCCAAGGTGCCAATATTAAAACATCAGATACAGAAACTAGGAAATGTCGTTAATACACACTCCCTCTTATATCCTTTACTAGAACTTGTCATTTGGCTGTCCATAGTGGCAAGGAATTCTGGGTATTTGGACATAGCTACAAGGAATTCTGGGCATTTGGATATTTTTAAATGGGTACATTGTTGACATAAAACTGGAGTAAATTTTATTATGGAAGAAGAAATGAATAGCTATCGATTAAGCAGCTAGTAGCACCTGATACACAATGTCACATGTGAAGAACTGGCATCTAAAAACGTGTAGTTTAAGGGTGCCAAGCTGGCTTAGTTGGTGGAATGTGTGACTCTCGATCTCAGGGTTCTGAGTTCAAGCCCCATGTTGGGTGCAGAGACTACTTAAAATAAAATCTTAAAAAAAATCTTGAAAAAGTTGTACTTTAAATCATAAGTTGCAAATTCAAATGCCTGCAGAGGCCAGGTATACACTAAAAAGTGAAGTGTGCTCAGTGGAAGATTATAGTGGGTGCTGGAGACTCTGGTGAGATGGAGGGTACATATACTTTTCAAAACCTAAAAAACATACAAACAGCCTGAATGATTTGTGGCCTAATGGCTACCAGTTTGTGGTGCCTAGTCTCAATCAAAGAAGTTAAAAAATTAGTTACAACTAAATAAAAAGAGGCTTATTAATTTTACTGAGATGTATTTATGTCATTTAGCAATCATATACTACATTTTCTAGGTAATTTGATAATAACCTTTTTAGGTACCAACATATTTGAAATTTTAACAATTTTTCCCTAAACTTTTCATTCTGAAAGATTTCAAACCTGCAGAAAAGTTGAAAGAATAGTACAATGAACAATATGTCTTTAAGCAGATTAACGCTTAACATTTTGGCACATTTTCTTTTTCTCTCATATATACACATAGACACGCACCCATATATATATATATGTTTTTTTTTTTTTTTTTTTTTTTACTTATTTGAAAGTACATTGTATGGATCATGGCTCTTACTTGTCAACATGTATCCCCTAAGAACAGGGACATTTTTATATAAAATGTATATATACATACATANCTTTTTCTCTCATATATACACATAGACACGCACCCATTTTTTTTTTTTTTTTTTTTTTTTTTTTTTTTTTTTTCTGAACCTATCTGAAAGTACATTGTATGGATCATGGCTCTTACTTGTCAACATGTATCCCCTAAGAACAGGGACATTTTTATATAAAATGTATATATACATACATATATATATATAAACTGTTATGTACGTATATATAAACTTATTACACTTGAGAAATTAATAATTATGCAGTAAATTTTAATAGTCCTATATTTAATTTTACCCAACTCTTCCCATAGTGTCCTTTTTAGCATTTAAAAAAAGAAAATTAGGATCCAATCAAATGTTACCTTCGTTAATCCAGAACTATTCTGTCTTTCGTGACATTCATGTTTTTAGGAGTCTAGACCAGTTGTTTTAAGGAAGGCCAACAGTTTTGATTGTCTGATTATTTCTTTATAATAGGATTCATGTTAAACATTTTGGGCAAGAATATTCCATATTCGATGTGAATTTGAAGCAGGTTATCACAAGGCCCAGCTAGGAGTTTGTGCTGTTGTTGGTGATGTTGGGTGGTCACGTGGGGGAGGTGGTATCTATCAGACTTCCCCAGAAAAGACACAGTTCCCTTTGTGAGTAATCTGTGCAGTGATGCTTTGAGACTTCAGGAATATTCTTTTTCCCATCAAGCTTTCACCTGAAAGTTAACATCCATTGGACCTTTACTGAGTCAATTATTGTATTTGTAGGTACAAAATAGTGGTTTTCTGGCTCAATCATTTCTTCTTCATTAGCTGGTATTCTTTTATGAAGAAGGACTTTTCCTCCCAGCCCTAGCCCTAGGCCCTTTCTTGAGTTCAGTGTGAACTCATGGATTAATTTTGTATTCAGTGTTTGTATTACATTGTTATCATTATTCCTACTGTTGCTCAGATTGTTTCCAATTTTCCTGGACCGCTGAACTGCTGGATGTGAGATGTGTTTTCTTTATTTCCCACTCAAGGCATGACTATTTCTGGGAGTGATATTATCTGTGCCCCACCACCCCTAGGTTCTCATTCCCTCTCTTCTCTTTTCCTCCCAGTTATCACTTGACTTGAAGCTTGATCTGTGTTTGGTGTTTCCTTCCCCTCCTACATATAAAGTTTGTGGTAATCTCTGTCTCCTAGTTGTGCTTTAGATGTGGAATATGGGTGGTTTTATGTGTCCTGTTTGTTGAACTCTGATTTCTTTTGTATGGTATGATTAGTATTTAGGTGGCTACAGTTATTTGACAGGAAATTAGAATTCCTCTATTTTAACTATTTTTATGGCTTTCTAAGATGTGAAATGTCTGGCTATCAAATGAAGTTTTCATTTAAACAGGGTAATCAATAAGTAGAACCAGGTAAGTATTTAGTACCTTTTGAAGTATGTTATGCCATTTGTCTCTACTCTCACTAGCTTCTAGCCAGTACATTCTATTTGAGTCTTTGGGGTTCTTTGCTTTTCTATAGCCTTTTTCTTTCCTCTTATGGACCAACAGCAGTCATTTTCCCCCAGTGTCAGTGCACTGCTACTAAACCCTATCCACTTTATTGTTTGCTGTGAATAGAGAATTGGAAATTCATATAACACAGCTTGTTAGATTTGGGTATGACATTAGAATAAATGAATAAATGGAAACCTGAAGATCTTCTGGAATTTTATTTAGGGCTTGATTTTCTCAGACTGTCTACTTGCTTATTAAATAGTCATTCTACCATATTTCCAGTCCTTTAGTATGTTCTAGTTTAGATAGTTAAGCTGATGATAAATAATATAAAAAATTATAGTTTATGTAATGATAATGAGTACAGTGTTAAAAGCAAGACTGTCCTGTCCCTAGAATCAGGTTCCTTGGTTTCAAGTCCTGGTCCTGCTGCTTATTGGCTGTGTGACTATAAGTATTTGCTTAGCTTCTCTGCACTTAAAAATGAAGGGGCGCCTGGGTGGCTTAGTCGGTTAAGTGTCCAACTTTCGCTTAGGTCATGATCTTGCGGTTCGTGGGTTCGAGCCCCGTGTCGGGCTCTGTGCTGACTGCCAGCTCAGAGCCTGGAGCCTGTTTCAGTCTGTGACTCCCTCTCTCTCTGACCCTCCCCTGCTCACGCTGTCTCTCTCTCTCTCCTAGAAATAAATAAAACATTAAAAAAAAAAAAAGAGTATAAAAAAATGAAGGTAATAATGTCTTCTTCTCAGGTTTTGTGAAGACCTAAGAAGATAATACGTGGAGCTCCTGGGTAGTTTAGTTGGGTAAGCATCCGACTCTTGATTTTGGCTCAGGTCATGATCTCACGGTTCATAGGTTCAAGCCACGAGTCATGCTCTACACTGACACCACAGAACCTGCTTGGGATTCTGTATCTCCCTCCCTTTATGCCCCTCCCCCCATCTCTCAAAATAAATAAATAAACATTTAAAAATGAAAAACCCACTTTTTTTCAGCATACTATAGAAATGCACAGCTTGCCATGCAATTACACTGTTGTGGAGTCATGTGTCCACTAGAGGTCATGTTATGCTTTTATAGATTTCTTTCATGCTGGGGTCCAGAAAGCCTACTTTAAAGAAAGACGGAAGTAGGAAAGTCCATTATTGCTTCCTGCAAAAATATGGTTTGAAAAATAAAGAAACCCAAGCTGGACTATTACAGGAACCATCATTGCTTGCCATAATTTTATATTTGGCGGTCTGTTACTCAGTTGGTTAGAAAATCAATTTGTATTATTGAAGTTAACAATGAAATCTTACTACCCAGGTTAGAAGTAGAAATTTCTTACTCCCTGACACAGAGTAATTTTCTTCCTTTTTTTTTTAAGTTTTTTAAAAATGTTTTTTAATTTGTTTCTGAGAGAGAGAGAGACAGTGTGAGCAGGGGAGGGTCAGAGAGAGAGGGAGATACAGAATCTGAAACGGGCTCCAGGCTCAGAGCTGGCAGTCAGCACAGAGCCCGATGCGGGGCTTGAACCCATGAACCGCGAGATCATGACCTGAGCTGAAGTCAGATGCTTAACCGACTGAGCCACCCAGGCTCCCTATAATTTTCATTTCTTGAAACTATTTCTGAATGATTATGTATAGATGTAGAATCATAAATGACTCTTTTCCTCACATATTTATTTTTATTAATGAATATGGATCTGTAGTCTGCCTACTCAAGGAGTGGCCTACACAAGTTACTTAAATTCTCTAGACTTTGAGTTTCCAAATTCACAACATGTGAATAATAGCTATGACAGTATTATGGTAAATCTCAAGATTTAAGTGAAGTTCTATGAAAATGAGAAATCATTTTTATAAATGGTAAAGTGCATTATTAGGTAACTCTGATTTTGGTCCACAAGGCACATTATGCGAAAGAATATAGGAGCCTCCAAATTTCTTCTCCTTTTTCTTTTTTTTTTTTTTTTTTAATTTTTATTTATTTCTAGGAGAGAGAGAGAGAGACAGCGCGAGCAGGGGAGGGTCAGAGAGAGAGAGGGAGATACAGACTCTGAAACAGGCTCCAGGCTCTGAGCTGGCAGTCAGCACAGAGCCCGACGCGGGGCTCGAACCCACGAACCGCGAGATCATGACCCAAGCGAAAGTCGGACGCTTAACCGACTAAGCTACCCAGGCACCCCTCTTCTCCTCTTTCTGATTGTTTATTAGTTTATATTTACTTTCTGAACTAGCCATTGTGGCTAATAGTGTATATATTTTAGATGGGCTCTCTTTAAGATCCTTTATTTTAGAAAATGTCCTAAAAATCAACTGTAGCTATCAAAAATTCACATGTGCAGAATTCATTCCACTGTGATGCTTGACGTTACTACTTTTATATAGTCATAGTCCTACATGTGGAACTGCTCTCTGGTTAAAAAAGATTCTTGGCATTTTGACATTTTTGTAAGTTTTTGCAGAACTAATGGGTTGAATTAACTGGACATTGTTGTAGTCTGTTTTTACTGATAATTTTGATCCTGATATGGGTAGTATCAGAGTTGAAGTGATATAGATACTAAGGTAATCAAGCGATAGGCCGAATAATTATGATGTTAAGTAAAGTTGGTGCTTGAAATGTTTTCATTATGTATTGACCACAAATAACAAAGGCAGTCTTAACTATCCTGTCTATAGTCCTGCAGGGAAGGCTCAGTTGGCAATTTCAGCATTTGAAGTGCAAGCCATTTTTAAACTTTGGTATGTAGAAGTGCTTGTGAATAACTAGAGAATGTTGGCTCAAAAGAGGAAGCAAATATATGTATTGTAGCTTTTTATGTTAACATGTGTATATATTGTATTATACACGTACACGCACACATAATCTCTTCACTGTAAGTATTTGGTTTACACCACTTCCCCTCCCACCTTCCTGTTCTCTTAACTACTGTTGATGGCCCCAGGGCTCCAGTACAGGTTGGCCTGACCCCAAACCTTGTTGTCACACCTTTATATTTTTACCAGACTGCTGCTCTTTAAAAACCTTTGTCATTGTAACATGCTACATATTTCTTGTGCTTGAGAAGTTTCCTAATAAGTACACAATGTGTAGATTTTTTTTCTCATTTTATGAATTTTAGTGATAAGAATCTCAACTAAATGTCTATCTTGAATGGAAGCCATCATGAAAGATTTGGGGATGTGTTGGATATCAAGTTTGAGTCTCTGCCATTCTTCCTATTACCTTGGTCAGGTCCCTTAATGTCTTGAGTTGTTTTGTTATCTGTTCAATGAAGACAATCATTTTAATACACAGTTGCCAAATGAATATTTCATATCTAGCCTACTAATTTCAGAAACGTTGTTGTGGGTTTTTGTTGTTGTTGTTGTTACTGTTGTTTTTTATGGAGGTAGCTGCGTTAGAAATGTTTATTTTTTCCCCTGTAGATAACAGACAAGAGAGTGTCCAGAAGACATGCAATTCTTGAGGTGGTCGGTGGTCAGCTTCGAATCAAACCGGTAAATATGTTATTCGTGACTTATTAAAATTTTTTTTTTAACATTTATTCATTTTTGAGAAACAGAGTGTGAATGAGGAAGGGGGCAGAGAGAGAGGGAGACACAGAATCCGAAGCAGGCTCCAGGCTCTGAGCTGTCAACACAGAGCCCAATGCAGGGCTCGAACCCATGGACCAGACTGCGAGATCATGACCTGAGCCAAAGTAGGATGCTCAACTGACTGAGCTACCCAGGTGCCTCTATTCATGACTCATTCTAACTCTTTGTCTCTCACCTTCTTCCAGATCCTGGTGAGAGAGGCTTATTTTCTAAGGTTATGCAAATAGGGAATTAATGTCAGAATATATCCTTCTTATTTCCAGAGGATAATTGGGAGATAAAGATCTAAACTATTAAAATATTTTTTCCCCATAAGGCAGTGCTACATTTACATGGTTAGGATTTTAGTGAAAGATGACTGCCAGTTCATGTATAAATTGGGATTTCGTTCATAACTGGGTATTACAAATAAGATCCTATAAGAAAGCCCATAACTATGTAATGGTTTATTTTTGGGGGGTGGGGTAGTGACCAAAGTCACTTAAAAGTTACAGGATTGGGGGCACCGGGGTGGCTCAGTTGGTTAAGCATCTGACTCTTGATTTTGGCTCAGGTTATGATCACACGGTTTGTGAGACAGTTTGTATCCTGCTTGGGATTCTCCCACTTCCCCTCTCTTTATCCTTCCCCTGCTTGTTCTCTCTCTCACTCTCTCTTTCTCTCAAAATAATAAATAAACTTTAAATAAATGTTACAGCATTGCATTTTAATAGACTTTTATATCTGTGTGTAGAATCGAATATTTCTAAAATTTAGAATTTGTTCTTTAGGGTTGTATTTTAATTTGAACGTTCCTGTTGAGGGCTAAAATTTTAACTGCTTGCTTTATAGTTAAGTACTGATATATTGTAGGGATATCAGTTTCTGATATTTCATTTGAACAATTAGTTGTGTAGGAGAATAAAAATTGTGTATAAGGGTCCATCTATTTTGGACTACATGCTGTGGCAGTAAAATTATCATGGCACGAAAGTATATAAATTATATGTAATATATAAATAAATATATAATAAGTTATATATAACATAATATTAAATTAATTTATAATGTTTTAAACCTAGATGTATTTTCATCTAATATGTACAACTGCCTTTTGTATCATCAGTGCTTTCTTTTACACATAGAGTACTTTTATTATCCTATGTTGAGCTATCAAGATTGACAAATGCCCATGAATTTTTTTTTTAAATGTTTATCTATTTTGAGAAAGAGAGTATGAGTAGGTGAGGAGCTGAGGGAGGGAGAGAGAGAATCTCAAACAGGCTACAAGCTGTCAGCCCATCTCACAAACCATGTGATCATGACCTGAGCCAAAGTCAGATGCTTAACTGACTGAGCCACTCAGGCACCCCCCCTTCGGCCTTTTTTTTTAATGTTTATTTTTGAGAGAGAGAGAGAGGGAGGGAGGGGAGCGAGAGAGAGTATGAGCAAGGGAGGGGCAGAGATCGCTGCGGGGGTGGGGGACAGAAGATCCTAAGCAGGCTGTGTGCTGAAAGCAGACAGCTTGATGCAGGGCTTGAACTCAAGAACTATGAGATCAAGACCTGCGCCTAAGTCAGATGCTTTACTGACTGAGCCACCCAGGTGCCCTGAGTTAAACTTTATTTTTTGTGAAATGGGTCAGATTTCTGCATGGGAGTTTAACAATTTTCCATTAAAAGAATATATCTTTTAGAAAGCATTCTTTATCTTTACTTGGTCTTTAATTAGATTGTACTCCTAGAAAACAATTATTTGAGGTCAACAAGTGTCTTCTGAGTTCCAGACTTCGGTAGATACAAAATTAGAAGCTAGAGGAAGAAATTCCTCATTAGATTATAGATATAAAACTAAAATTTGATATAATAGCTTGTTTAAATTATACTTCTGTTTATATTTATCTTTTAAATATTATTAGCATAATTTATGAACTTTCTAGTAAATGTGACCTTATATACATGGGAGAAAGATAAATATTTTTTACCTTTTCCTTGGTAGCACTGTTTTTGACAGTTTAGAATATCAGGGCCCTCTAGAGAATGCCTAATTTTACAGAGTCAGCACGTTGTCAAGTGGGAATTAGAGCTCAGGTTCTTTGACTCCTCTGCAGTGGCTTTTTTTTTTTTTCATTGTATTTCCCAAGTCAGGATTTGTTTGCTGTTTGATAGTCTCTTCTTTAAAAAAATTTCTTGAAGTTAAGACTTGACTTTTTTTCACAAGATGTTTTGGTGTCTTCAGTCGAATAGAATTTTACAACTCAAACCACACTTAGATTCAGTCTCATGTATGTGGGAATTTGATTTGGGCTAGAGCTGGCACTGCATTATCAGTGGAAATGGGGATTTTTCATTAATAAATGGTATTGGGACAGTTTGTTATTTGTTTAGGGAAAAAAATTAGACTCCCTGCCTCAAACCATACACACACATCAGTTTTAGGTGGCTTAAATGTGAAAGTCAAAACTGTAAAACTATTAGATGATATAGGAAAAAAAACCTTTGTGATTTTAGAGTAGGGAAGTTTTAAAATGGCTATAAAAAAGATTAAAAAACCTAATTACATTAAAATTAAGAAACTTTGCTTATCAAAACACTATATTGAAAATGAAAAACATAATATGGAAAAGTTATTTAAAACACAAGTAATTGACAAAGGAATGGTATCCAAAATATATAGCAAATGCCTTCAATCAGCAAGAAAAAGATAAACAATCTGATCGAAAAATGAGCTGAAGACTTGAATGGCACATTATAGAATCAGAAATCTGACTGTTCAGTAAACATGAGAAGGGTATTCAGCCTTCTTATTAAGCAGAGAAATCTAAAAAAACAGCAATGAGATACCATTGCACACCCAACAGATTGGCAAAAATGGAAAGTCTAACAATTTCAAGTGTTGAGGATGTAGAACAAGTAGAACAATTACAAACTTTGGATGGGAGCTTAAATGTTGTAGCCACTTTGAAAAATGAAAAATAGCTTGACATTATTTCCTAAAATGAAGGCATGCATTCCCTACAAGCCAGATCTCACACACACATAGATGTTTACAGGAACCTGAAGAGCAAAATTATTTATAGAATAGCAAGAAACTAGACACAACATAAATTTCCATCAACAATGGAATTGATAAATATATTGTGATATATTCATTTAATGAAATACACTACAGTAGTGAAGATAAATTACAGTGAAAGCATGAAAAATGTGGATTAGGATCAGGGACATAACACTGAATGATAAAAGCAACATTGAAAGAATATATATAGCATAGTTTCATTTATATAAGATTAAAAATTCAACAAAATAAACAGTATATTCATGGTCATAAACCTGGGTGCTAAAATCATAAAGAACATTAGGGAAGTGATAGATAGAACAGGCAGTATAATAATTACCTTTGAGTGAACTAAGAAGAGGATGGATAGGGAAAGACTCAGAAGGCACATCAAAAGTTAATATTCTTTTTCTGAAACTGGGTGGTGAATCCATACATCATATCTACAATGTATTGTGTCTTTAAAAATTATTATGGAACACTTAGGGCATGAAAAAGGTGTGGTGAATAGTACAGGGTTGTGCAACTACTTCTGTAATGCCAAACTACCAAGCATTGAAAGACATGAAAAAAAATGTATTTATTTTTAAGGAAATGTACAACTCTAGTACTAAAATATGATTTTATAGAACAGTATTTAATCGGGTTTTGAATTTAATTCAGAGAATTATTTACACCATACCAGTTGAAGGAAAGTTGTTTCTTACACTTGGTGATATACATTATCAGTCCTTTGCTTTATATAATGCTTGATTTCTTGTTTATGTTAACATAGTTGCAACAAAATGCCTATCTCCTAGAAATAAATGTATTTGTTTATTCAGCTGATTAATGTAGCTGTGCCGTCAAGGTGCAATTTAGAGAAATTTAGAGAAATTCTAAACTGACTATAATTGTTAATAGAAATGTTAAGGTCTTGAAAATAAAGAGATAGACAAGTAACTTCTAATTCATTCATTTAATCTTAACCTGTGCTAAATATCATTTACCTTCTGTTCTCTAGTCAGTCACAAATTGATCTATTAAAGCAGTTTATATATACAACTAAAATAAAATTTTGAGAGATAAATCTTAGTTTAAAATTTTTTGTAAAATTGTGTAAATGAATTATAGCAAATGTTTTATTATGATCCCTTCTGTATGCTGTATACTCCAAATTATGTTTAAGTGATTAAATATTTTTCTACTTTCCTTCAAATTAGAAATCCAATCAAATAGAAAAGTAGATTTGACAATGATGGGTGAATGCAATTAAGGCAATTACTAATTTCTACTTTTAAACTGGATGAATTTGTCTTTTTTTTCCTCTAATATTTCCTTTTAAAAAAGACTCTAGCTATCAACAGTTCTTGGAAATAGAGCATGAGGAGATAATGTTAGCTCATAGGAGATGATGTTAGCTTATTTGTGAGTCATTTAAATTTAATCTCTAGTCTGGTATCAGCAGGGAGGAAATGTATTATAAAGACAAAATGACAGTGTTCTCTATAAATGACTATATCACCAGTAGTTAAATATGTCCTCTGGGTAAATTCATAGCTGTCAATGCTTTTATTTCATTTTAATAAAATCTTACTCTTTTTGGTTCTTGGAGGATTGAGGGAGTAGTTCTGTAAGTACATATAAATTACAAAAGATTATATTTTTTGCCATTTGGTATTAATCCTCAAAATATCCATCTTTGGGTGACTGTGTTTTTTTTCTTTTGTGTAATAAAATTCCTGAGTTGTGATTATTTTTCTTCTTATGAAATTATGAGTGTACTTGGAAGATAGCTATAAAATGCAGCAATAGCTTTTCCACAGCTCATTTTGTGAAAAGAAGAAAGAAGAAAAGAAAAACAATGCTTCCCTAATAAAAAAATAATAATTGGAAATAAGAGGAACTTTTGGGGGGGGGTGTGCACATTAATCTTTCTTTAATGCTTATGATAATTTCAAGAGAAAGCTGTGGAAAACTGCTTTGTATTAAGTTTGTACTTATAATCCCATGGATATGTTAAAAGGCACTTACCAAAACTATGCTTCTCATAGAGGTAGCTCATATCTTTTATTCACTATGAGTATGGGTTTGCCAGTATTTTGCCTACGCTTATCTGCTGTTAGAATCAAAGGAAACCTAGCCTTATTAAAGGAATTGGAGAGCTTTCCATAGTTTTCTGGTCTCAGGAAGACTTTGAATATTCAGAAAAGTTTTAAATTCATTTGGATCTGGTTTGGGGAGAGGTTAGAAAGATTTTTATTACTGATTGTATTTTTAAAACATTCTAGGCCTTATCAAACAAAACACATACACGCGCATGCATGTGCATGCTTGGTTTTTGTTTTTGTTTCTTTGGTCAGTTCGGTGTATATTCTGTAAGATAATTGTCAGTTTTGGCCATATTTATGAATATATTGGCATGAAGTATTTTGTAGTATTCTACTAAGTTTTATGTGTACTTAACATCATTGTTTTCATTCCAAAATGTATGTGTATGTGGTGTGTATGTGTATCTTCTCCCTTTTTGTTTATTAATATTGCTAGATTTTTGTCTACCTTATAACTTTAAAAAAACTACCATTTCTTTTGGACTTCATGTTTGTGTAGCTTTTTAGTTGAAGTGTATGTAGTTTGACATAAATTTTAAAAACTTGGGGCACCTGGGTGGTTTAGTAAGTTGAGTGTCTGCCTCTATTTTTTTTTTAATTTTAAAAAATATTTATTTTTGAGAGAGAGAGAGAGAGAAAACGCGAGCAGGGGAGCGGCAGAGAGAAGGGAGACACAGAATATGAAACAGGCTCCAGACTCTGAGCTGTCAGCACAGAGCCTGGCACGGGGCTTGAACTCACAAGCCTTCAGGCCATGAGATCATGACCTGAACCGAAGTCAACCACTTAACTGACTGAGCCACCCAGACACCTTGAGGGTCTGACTCTTGATTTTGGCTCAAGTCATGATCCCAGGGTCAGGGGATTGAACCCTGCATTGAGCTCCACACTGAGCATGGAGCCTGCTTAAGATTCTCTCTTTTTCCCTCTGCCCTGCTCATGTGCACACTCCTCTCTCTCAAAAAAAAAAAAAATGCCGTTTAAAAAGTTACTCAATAAGTAATATTTATTTAGGTTTAGGTTGTAGGACCAAATATTAGATTTCTTGGAATGTTGTTTTTGTTCTTGGCTCTGGAATCCCCTGTATGAACAATTTTAGGAAAAGAAAAAGATGATCATGGACCACATACATTGATCAACTTTCTCTGTGACTGGATTTGCTAAATACCTAATATTTATCCACTTGAAATTTAAATGTTAAGTGCATATTAACAATAGCCAAATTATGGAAAGAGCTCAAGTGTCCATCGACTGATGAATGGATAAAGAAGATGTGATATATATGTACATTGGAATATTACTCAACGATCAAGAAGAATGGAGTTTTGCCATTTGTAACGATGTGGATGGAACTAGAATGTATTATGCGAAGTGAAATAAGTCAGAGAAAGATAAATATCTTATGATTTCACTCATATATGGAATTTAAGAAAAAAAGAAGATGAATATAGGAGAAGGGAAGGAAAACTAAGATAAAAACAGAGAGGGAGGCAAACCATAAGTGACTCTTAAATCCAGAGAACAAACTGAGGGTTGTTGGTGGGGTATTGGGTGGGGAGATGGGCTAAATGGGTGATGGGCATTAAGGAGGGCACTTGTAGGGATGAGCACTAAAGTGCTAAATTCTACTCCTGAAACCATTATTACACTATATGTTAACTATCTGGGATTTAAGTAAAAAACAAACTTTAAATAAAATAAAAAATGTTAACTGTATTCAACTGAGTAAAAAATACTGAAAATAAATGTCTTTTTTTGACTTTGGGGTTTTGATGCCTTATTAAAATAATGTAATTAGTTTCCTTTTTCAAAATGTATTTTACCTTTTCTACTTTTAGAATATTATGACTTTGTATTTAACATCTTATCCTTTGAAAATTTAGGACTAAGTTATTTAATATTTAGAGATTCATCTGAAAGTTTAAAATACTAATAAATAAGAGTATGGTCTTATCTTAGCCTATTAGAAGCAAACCTCATTTATAGAGTATTTGGGGTTCAGGCAGAAGCTATGGATATTTCTGTCCTGACTCTTGTCCTCGGTACTTAACATCCCTGACTTTGGTGACTGTGCTATACTCAAGAAAGGGCAGGCTTCATTTAAAAGTCTGGGGATTAACGGGAAACAATTTTCAAGTCTAGCAGTGTGCACAGGCTCAGAATCTGGTGGTTTGTCCTAGCTCAAAAACCCTAGCCATGAGCCAGAGCCACTTTGAGAGATAAATTAGGGGTGGTTGGTACTGTAATGAAAGATTTCTAAACATTAAGTTTAAATTATAACTTGATTTTTAAAAATGAAGTGTTCACAATTCTTAGTGTTATGGTGTTGCATAAATAGGGTGTTACATTGCATGTCCATTCTTATGAAGTCTTGTATATAGTTTGTAAAATAACTGACCTATAAAATAATTGCCTACCATATTTATATAGTCTCTGTGTTTAACTTCTACCTCTAATCTTTATCTCCACATTTTATTCACTGCATTCTTTTAACATATTTAAAAAAAAATAGAAACATTTTCAATTGCAGATATATATATGAAGGACTTATGACCAGATCATCATGAAATTAAATTGCCAGAACTAGAAAATTATATTCATTCTAGCTTTCAAAGTTTTTTGTTTTTTTCTTTTTTAAATTTGAGCATGTAGGCAACAACGCTTATTTATTTATTTTTGGCAGCTTTTGTTTTAATGCTCCCTTTTCTATATTAGTCTATATTAGAAAACTCCTCAGTGAGGAGCAAAAGCAATCAGAACAAGCTATGTTGTTTGTTGAGGGATTTGAGCAAGGTCTGTCTTTTCATATTAGCTCATTTTTTAATCATAGTAAGAAATTACTAGGAGAAAATAAGTATAAAAGAAGCTAGCCATTTCCAAGAGATTAGTGAATTATGGATATGAAAGTTGGGGCACTCAATTTCCATACTGAGAATTACTTTTCATCTGATTGTCCCTCTTAAAAAAGCAGACTTATCTTTTAACCAGGTAATTGATAACTTTGCTTCTTTCTTTGATTCCTAGAGAAATGGGAGGTATATTTTAGCTCTTTTTGTCTTTTTGCTTTTTTATGTATAGATAATTACGGTTATAAGTGCCAAATTTATTAGACTTTTAATTAAGTCTAAGTTTGCACTAAAATTGTTTTGATACTGAAATTTTGGATCAGTTTGTATTTAGTTGTATTTTTCTCATAATTTACAGTTATTTCACTGTATTCTTTTTTATTTGTTAGATACACACAAATCCATGTTTTTATCAGTCTTCTGAGAAGAGCCAGCTTGTACCATTGAAGAGAAATCTATGGCGCTGGTTGAATCCTGGAGACAGTTTTTCTTTGCTAGTCGACAAATACGTTTTTTGTGTTTTCTCTACACACTCTGAAACAGAAATGGAATGTACTTTAAGGTAAGATTGCCTGATGAAATTAAGTAATGGTGTTTGTAACCTAATTCCTCAGCCATCCACAAATGTTTCAGTACAAACCATATTAAGATTAAACTATGTTGGCAACATAGGAGTTACATGGTGTGTGTCTGTGTGTGTGTGTGTGTGTGTGTGTGTGTGTGTGTGTGTCTGTGTGTTTCTCTAGAAAACATTTGACATTGGAAACTTATGCCTCAGTAGTGACTGCTCACATACATAGTGCCTTTTGCCAATATTTTCCATTTCATAGTAACTAGGATAGTTAATTTGAAACCAACTACATTTTCTTAATCTTTTCTTTTAGCTTTTGAAATTTTATTAAGTTATTAACCTCTGGCTTAGACTACGCTTATATAAATCATTTTTCTTATAAAAATAACAAAATTGGGGTGCCTAAGTGCTCAGTTGGTTGAGCATCTGACTCTTGATTTTGTCTCAGGTCATAATCCTAGGGTCATGGGATCAAGCCCCACATTGGGCTCCATGCTCAGCATGGAACCTGCTTAAGATTCTCTCTCTCTCTCTCTCTCTCTCTCTCTCTCTCTCTCTCTCTCTCTCTCTTTCAGGGGACCTGGGTGGCTCAGTTGGTTAAGTGTCTGGTTCTTGACTTTGGCTCAGATCATGATCTCATGATTTGTGAGTTCAAGCCCCGAGTAGGGCTCCATGCTGACAGCTGAGAGTGCAGAGCCCGCTTAGGATTCTTAACCTTTTTCTCTGCTCCTCCGCTGCTTGTGTGCCATCTCTCTCTCTCTCTCTCTCTCTCTTTCTCTCTCTCTTAAAATAAGTAAACACATTTAAAAGAAAATAGATTCTCTTTCTCCTTCCTGCCCCTCCCCCAGTTCTTTCTCTCACTCTCTCTCTAAAAGAAGAAAAAAACCCCAGAAAATATAGAATGGAAAAACTGAGGAAATGAGTTATTACAATAAGCATCTGGTGTAAAGTTAAAATTAATACACTAGTTTTGTTGAGGCAGTCAATAGCAGATTATTTACCTCTGTTTCAGCTCTTATAGACTACATAAACTGGATTTATAGAATTAGGACAAAAGTATAGAGTGTGATAATTGTAGTGTTAAATTAAAAATCAATAACAATACAGGGGCGCCTGGGTGGCCTAGTCAGTTAAAGTGTCTCACTCTTGATTTCAGCTCAGTTCATGCATGATCTCACTGTTTGTGAGTTCGAGCCCCAAGTCAGCCTTCATGCTAACAATGTGAAGCGTGCTTGGGATTCTCTCTCTCTCTCTCTCTCTCTCTCTCTCTCAACTCTGTCCCTTCTCTGCTCTCTCTGTCTCAAAACAAGTAAATAAGCTTAAAAATTAAAAAAAATCAATAACAATAAAATAGAAAAATCTCCCAAAATTTAAAATTAAACAGCACACTTCTGAATAACTCACAAGTCTAATAAGAGAAATCACAACGGAAATTAGAAAACATTTTGGAGATGCCTGGGTAGCTCATTTGGTTAAAAGTCTGAGACTCTTGGTTTTGGCTCAGGTCATAGTCTTATGGTTCGTGAGTTTGAGCCCCCGCTTTGGGCTCCAAGCTGGCAGTGCAGATGGACCCTGCTTGGGATTCTCTCTCCCCCTTTCTTCCTGCCCCTCCCCTCACTCTCTCTTTCTCAAAAATAAATACACTTAAAAAAAAAAAACAACATTTTGAACAACTACTGAAAACAGCATAAAAATTTGTGAGTTGAAGCTAAAGTTGTTCTTAGAGGGAAATTTATATTAAATACCTGTGTTAGAAGAGAAGAAAGCTATAAAACCAATGATTTGTGCTTCTACTTTAAGAATATAGGCAGACAGCAGCATATTAATGCCAAAGCTGATAGGAAAAAGGAAATAAGAGTAGACTAGAAGTCATTGAAATAAAAATAGACAAGTAACAAAGAAAATCAACAAAACTAAAAGTTGGTTCTTTGAAAAGATTAATAAAATTGGTAAACTTAGGCTTCCCAAGAAAAATAATGAGCAAAAGGAAAAAATACAAATTATCAATATCATAAATAGTATGAATATATCACTAGTGATTTTACAGACCTTAAAAGAATGATGAAGAAATATTATTTAAAACTTTATGCCAGTAAATTTAACAGTCTAAATGAATGGATGCATTCCTGGGAAAACATAATTTACCAAAACTAATACAGAAAGAAATAGAAAATCTAATGAGTTTTATATTTATTAAAGAAACTGAGTTCACAGTCTAAGAATTTTCCACAAGGAATCTCACTAGTGAGTTCCGTGAACTTTCAAGAAGGAAATACCAATATTATACCATTTTCCCCCAAATAGAAGAGGGTATACTTTCTCACTTATTTTAAGAAGCTTCCATAATCCTGATATCAAAATCAGATAATAACATTACAAGAAAACTAGATCAAAAAAAAAAAAAGAAAAGAAAAGAAAGAAAACTATATCAATATTCCTCATGAAAATAGAGAGAAGTCAAATCCAGCAATATGTAGAGAGGGTAATATACCATAACCAAGTGGAATTTATCTGAGAAATGCAAGGTGGATTTATCAGATAAAAATCAATACATTTCACTGTTGCAGATTGAAGAATTGTCATTTCAACTGATGCTTAAGAATAATTGTGACAAAATTCAACACCTGTTCATGGTTAAGAAAAAAACTAGAAAAAGAAGGAAATGTCTTTCTATGAAAAATATTGTATTTATTTGCAGATGAAATGATTGTGGATTTAGAAAATGCTGAGTTATCTATCCTAGGAAGCAAAATAGCACCTGATGTGATTACATTTATATTATGTTCTATAATAAACAAACTAATCTATACTGTGGAAATCCAGTTAGTGGTTATTTCCAGAGGCATAGGCAAATTTTTTGGTGATGGACATATTCTGTGCCTCAATAAGGATATAGGTTACATGGATGTATGTATTTGTCAAAACTGACCAAATTGTGTACTTCAGATCTGTGCATTTCAGTAAATATAAATTACAGCTACAATTTCTTAAACTAGTAAATGAAAAGAAATTATGTGAGGAAATGTTTTTTGATTTGTTAAATGAAATCCAGTAACCTTTGCTTGCCACTTTACATATCTTCCTTTTTTTTTCTCTTATCACGCATGTAGAAAGAACACTATTTTAAACCAGTGGTTGACCAGAGAAATATAAACAACTAATTTTTTTGTTACAGTAAATTTCCACAGTAGAATTATATGCTTTTTAAAATAATTTATTTTTATTTTAGAGAGAGCACAAGCAGGGAGAGGGGCAGAGTAAGAGAGAGAAAATCTTAAGGAAATTTCCATGCTCAGCATGATCTGAGCCAAAATCAAGAGTCTGACACTCAGTCCACTGAGCCACCCATGTGCCCCTATCTACTTAAAAAAAAAAAAATCTGGAAAATATTGCACATCTCAATAAAACAAAATATAGTCATTGCCTCATACTTAGAGTATTATATGTCAACTTTAATTTTATGTGTATCCATTCAGACAGGCTTGTCCCCTGAACGTGAGAGACCAGTGCTGTAACTCAAATAAATCAGATTGTGAGAAGAGTGAATTTTGAATGTTTGTAGTATTGATAAACGTAAGAATACAACTTACTTTAGCAGCAGTGTACTTTTTCAGGCTATTTATTATGAATAATAATATCTGGTGTACTGTTGCTATCAAGCTATGTGTTGAAAGAGGTAATAAATATTTTGCATATACTTTGGTAATTATGTTCCTAGGTTAGGGTAATCAAATTAATTGTGTTGTTTTAAATTTAAAAATTAAATATTCTGTTTTAGCTTACTAGCGCAAGATATCCTTCATGATGATTTCACCTTCAGCTTTTTCCCACTTATGATTTAGAGTTTTCAGATATTTCCATAATAGATTGAATTTCTGATGTGTGATAATAATTTTTAGTGTTTTTTATGATGTTTACAATTCATTTATGATTTCTTTTTTTGTTTTAGGGAGAGAGAGTGGGAGATGGGGAAGAGGGACAGAGGGAAAGAGAATCTTAAGCAGGCTCCATACTCAGTGTGGACCCTGACGCGGGGCTTGATTCCACAATGCTGGAATCATGAATCAAGAATTGCATGCTCAACCAACTGAGCCACCCAGGCACTCCTATGATTTTTAAAACTTATTTCTAGATCCAGCTCATATATGTTAGTAGCATATTTTATATTAAAGATGAAAAATAGTTTATATTTAACTGTAATTTGGAGTATATTTTTAAGATTTAATAATAACTTAATTGCTAAAATAGTCTTTAAAAAGAAGAATAGAGACACCTGGCTCAGTTGGTTGAGCGTCCAACTTCAGCTCAGGTCATGGTCCCACAGCTTGTGAGTTCAAGCTCCATGTCGGAGCTAACAGCTCAAAGCCTGGAGCCCTCTTTAGTCTTTGTGACTCCCTCTCTCTCTCCTTCTCCCGCTCCCCTGCTTGCACTCTGTTTCTCTATCTCACTCTCTCAAAAATAAATAAACATTAAAAAAATATTAAAGAAAAAAATGGAGAATAGAACTTTCCATGCTACCCAGGGAGTGGGTTCATATAGCATTGTTCTGCATGAATTCCCCTGGTTCCCAGCATCCCCCAAAGCCACCAGAACAAGCTTGCTGCTGGAGTGAGGGATTTCTGTCATTATTTAAAGAGGAGCTTTCACAATGTCTGGAGCCCTCCATGTCCTGCAAATGAAGGAGGATATTCTCAAATTCCTTGTAGCAGGGACCCACTTTGGTGGCACCAATCTTGACTTCTAGATTACAAAACGAAAAGTGATGGCATCTGCATCTCATGGTCTGAAGAGAACCTAGGAGAAGCTTCTCCTGGCAGCTCATGCCATTGTTGCCATTGAAAACCTGGCTGATGTCAGTTCATATCATTCAGGAATACTGCCCAGTGAGCTGTGCCGAAGTTTGCCACTGCTACTGGAACCACTCGTCTTGCTGGCTGCTTCACTCCTGGAGCCTTCCTAACCAGATCCAGTCAGCCTTCTGGGAGCTGAGACTTCTGGTGTTTGCTGGTGATTCCAGGGCTGACCACCAGCCTCTCACAGTGGGGTTTTATCTTAACCTGCCTACCATTGCTGTGTGTAAGACAGATTCTCTTCTGCACTATGTGACATTGCCATCTCTTGAAACAACAAAGGAGCTCACTCAGTGGGTCAATGTGATGGATGCTGGCATGGGAAGTTCTGTGCATGCATGGAACCATTTCCCGTGAACACCGTTGGGAGGTCATGCCTGATCTCTACTTCTGCAGAGATCCTGAAGAGCTTGAAAAATGAAGAGCAGGCCACTGCTGAAAAGGCTATGACCAAGGAGGAATTTCAGGGTGAATGGACTGCTTCAGTTCCCAAGTTCTGCTACTCTATCTGGAGTTGCAGACTGGTCTAAAGGTATGCAAATGCCTATTCAGCAGTTCCTTACTGAAGACTGGGGCATTTAGCCCGCCACTGAAGACTGGTCTTTTGCTCCCACTGCTCAGGAGACTGAATGGGATAGGAACAATTACTGAGTGGTCTTAAGCTCCTCTTCCACAAAGGCAAACAAAATGGAAATAAGGTTGGTGGAAAATAAACAGTTTCTAAAAGTTGGAACAAAAAGAGTTGGAGGATTCATTCTTCCCAACTTTAAAACCTACTACAAAGCTACAGTAATGAAGACAGTATGGTAGTAGCATGAAGAAACACAGATCAGTGAAATAGAATTGAGAGTCCAGAAATAAGCCCTTACATTATGGCCAATTGATTTTTGACCAGATTGTTAAGACAATTAAATGGGGGAAAAGAAGTCTTCTCAGCAAATGGTGTTGGGACAACTGGATATCCATATGTGAAAGAATGACTCCTACCTCACCCTATATAAAAATGGACTTAAAATGGATCAGAGACCTAAATACTAGAGCTAAAATTATGAAATGCTTAGGAAAATACACAGGTGTAAATCTTTGTGACTTTGGATTAGGCAGTGGTTTCTTAGCTATAACCCCAAAAGCACAAGCAAAGAAAACATAGATCAACTGGACTTCATCACAGTTAAAAGCTTCCTAGCTTCTAAGACACTAGTAAGATTGTAGAAAGACAACTCACAGAATGAGAGAAAATATTTGCAAATCATATGTCTGATAAGGAACATATATCCAGGATATATAAAGAACTCTTGCAATTCAACAGTAAAAGGGCAAATAAACCAATTAAAAAATACAGAAAGGATTTGAGTAGACATTTCTCCAAAGAAGAAATCCAAATGGCCAATATCGAAGCTCATGGAAAGATACTCAACATGATTAGTCATTAGGAAAATGCAAATTAAAATCACAATGAGATATCACTTCACATCTACTAGGATGGCTGTACTTAAAAAAGATAATAACAAGTATGGACAAGGATGTAGAGAAATTGAAATGCTTATGCACTGCTGGTGGGTTTGTAAAATGGTACAGCCTCTTTGGAACATATTCTTACAGTTCCTCAAAATTTTAAACATAGAATTACAAGTGGTCCAGCAATTCCACTCTGTCCATACATAGGACAGGAAACATCTGTTTGTACAAAAACCTATATAGTTCCATTTATATGAAATGTGAAGAAAATGTAGATTCATAGAGAGAGAAGGTAGTTTAGTGGTTGCCAGGGGCTGGATGAAAAGGGAATGGGAAGTGATTACTAACACATACAGGATTTCTTTATGAAGTGATGAATATGTTCCAAAATTAGATATTGAAGATGACTGCATTGCAGATTAACTTTGTAAATATCCTAAAAACCACTAAATTTTATATATACTTTAACAGGATGAATTTTATTGTTATGTGAATTATATCTCAGTAAAGCTATTTTAAAAAGAAAACTCAATTTCCTTTATTATACTGTATTTAGATAATTTCCAGGTTTTAATTTTTGCATTTAGCAAGTTCTGGTAACACTGCATTATAAATCCTGTGATACTTGCGTATAGAAGTATTTTAAGATAAAAATATAGCTATATCGCAGTGACAGTGTTTGGTGTTTAAATAAAAGTGTAATAAAATAATTTGTACTTTGACCTATTTGGAACTAAATGTTAATTAGAATTTTGTTCTGGGATTGGATTTTTTTGTTGTTACATTTATTCTTAGTAAATATTAACAAAAATTTATCTCTGGGCCATAGGGTGTGTTTATATTAGTCTTGAATTTATGCCACAATAGAAAATAAACTAAAAATGGAATAGATGATGTTGCTTAATTTCTAAAACTATAAATTGTGAAAAACTATTGCACTAGTGAATCTTTCTTAATATTTTTCAAATTAAATATGAAGAAAATTTGGGGAAAAATCATAATTTGGAAGCACACCTGTATCCTATGAGTAAAATGGATCTGAATATTGGAAGGGGAGTGAGGTATCATAGATGGGATAATTATACATTTTCAGTCTTTATCTCTGGCATCTGGCACAGTACCTGACACACCGTAGGTGTTTTAAAAATATTGAAGAAAAGGCACAGCATAGGGAATACAATGATATTATAATAGCATTGCACGGTGACAGATAGATGGTAGCTATACTTGTGGTGAGCATAGTACATTTGGAAAAGTTGAATCACTATGTTATATACCTGAAATTAATGTAACATTATGTGTCAACTATACTCAAAAGAATTTAAGCAATATTTACCAAATGAACAAAAACTGTCTTGTTGCACAGTGATTTAGTCTAAGTAAGTTGTTCTCTTTTGGCTAATTTCTGCCATTGAGATTCAAGTCTGCCTTTGAAGGAAATTATTCCTATATAAGAAATAAAACAAGCCATTAGTTATTATCTTCTCAGACACATTTCTAAAATCTTCTATCTTCCGTTTTACACACACTGAAATTCCTTTTAAATGTACAATTCATTGTACTCTGACAAATATATTTGTTTGTGAAAGTTCTACCACAGTGAGATAGAGAACATTTCCATTTCCCCAGAAAGCGCCCTCATGCCTGTCTGTAGTCATTCCCCTCATCCCACTCCGGGCCTGGGTATCTGGATCTGATTTCTGTCCCTGTAGCTTTATCTCTTCAGAATGTCATACGAATGGAATTAGATGATATGTAGCCTTTTGTGTCAGGCTTCTTAGACTTAGCAAAATGCCTTTTAGATTCATTTGTGTTGTTGTATATCAATTTGTTCCTTTTTATTTCTGAGTAGTATTTCCATCCATATTTTCAGTTTTTCAAAAAAGCACATTTGTTGGGTTGCCTTTAAGCGCATATAATGAATAACGGCCTGTCAGCTTTGGATGATCTTAGTGAACTTTGCAGCAAGTGTGAGGTAGTTGGTTCTGCTATTGTGTTCCACATGTGACTGTGGATGTTCCTGCTTCAGAACATTTAGCTTCCAGGTGGACTACAGATTTGGGGAGATCTTACAACTGGCTGTACCGGCCAGAACTCCAGTAGCAGCCATGTGTGAACATGACGTTAGAATTTTATTTATTCTTTTCTCCAGAAGCCAAACTAGCTTAGCTGACATTTTTGCAATTTGCATTGTCTCTTTGGATGCTGGGTGCTGATCTTAACTTTTATGGGCTATCTGGAAAAATACTAAGTAAATAGCTCTTAAGCTTTAAGAGAGATGGCCACTACCCATCTTCATAAATAGCTGTGGTTACTAGGCCCATGATTCAGAGAGATAAATGTATTTTATGCTGATACAGTGGCAGAAGATGAAGAACATATTTTCACCTGTATATTTTATTCTAGTATACTGTGATCTGCTTTTTTTGTCTTGCTAAAGCCAAGAAAAGGAGCACAGTTCATTAGTTAGATGTACTTGGGAGAATCACATTTATAATTACAGAGTATAATAAAAGTGTTTTAAGTCATTGTTTATTTTATTTTTATAGGAATAGTCAGATGCTTGATGAAGATAATCTAAATGAAATGCCAAAATCGTCCGTGGTTAACTTATCTGATGAGACAACTGGTAACCCACAGCTGGAAAGAAGCACAGAAATAGCTAAGACTCACACCACCATTGCAAATAGTGAGGTGAGAAATTTAAGATCACATCCCTTTGTAACATATTCCTTGCTTCAAGGAGAGAAAAGACACCTGAAATTAGTCATGTCATGACAGTATTACTGGCATTATCATTTTTAGGTTAAGCTGTACAGAATAGAGCTTAGTCGAACACATCAACTAATAGAGATAATGAATTTCTTTCTTTGAGAAATTTGACTAATTCAGTCCACAGTTACAGATAGGTTTTTCTAATGGTAGTTTTCTGCAAAGTTAATAATCTTACAGTTTCATTAAGGCTGCATGATTATTTTTAGTAATTAATATATAGATGCCTTTTTAGTGTTTCCTAGGTGAAGATAGAGACCTCAGTAAGCAACAGTCAAACTCCACCCAGAGGAGAAGAATCCTGCCAGCATGGATGTTAACAGACAATCAAAGTGACCAAAACCTTTCAGCACCAGCCAGCAGTGGGGGTAGGTTTTGTTTAGAATACAGTAAGCAGAATTTGGAACTTTTTCTGAACGCATGGATATAGACTAGTGGTTATGTAAGTGTATAACTTAGCCTACCATTTTTAGATATGTACATGAAGTCTAATTTAAAACATAAGTTATTATTTTATGCCGTTTATCACATCTATCATACACCATCCTGCTAATTACCATTTGATTTAACAAGTGCTATTTATCTTATGTGCTGGACTTATGTTAATGTAGATTTTCAAACATACCTGTTGGTATGTCAACCATGACATGACATAAAAGGCCTGCGTGGTAAGAAATTTCTAAATTAAGTTAATTAAATAAAAAGCTGCCAAGCACACAATATTATGAGCAGGAAGATTCAAAGAGGGGGGGCCCTCTCTCCTGGCACAGCTCACTTTCACGGCAGGTACCACAATGATTTATGTCACCTGCTGGGCGTTTCCATCGAATCGAGATGATTAAAACCAGTTCTAGTTTGGATCTAGTAGGATTAGAATGACTTCGTGGGAAAAATAGGTTATATATTATGTATTGTGGGAGATATGATCTGGAGAATTTTCATATCTAACCCTGAGATTTCCTGGTAAGAGTTTTATAGTGGTTTTCAGTTGCCACAACCCATCATTACATGTGTAATTTATCAGTAACATTTCACATTAAGCATGGTAATTCCTCAGTTGGCAGGAAGGAAATGGGGAGTGGGGAATGGTACTGGAGAGGGGGCAGGTACTTACTCTCAGTAGAAAAGTTTTTCTAATATAGAAAGAATAACTTTACTTGACCAAAATTTGGACCAATGTGAACTGCCTGCAAACAAGTCCTTTTCTTTCAGAGTTGTTTTGCACAGGACCTGCTTCTGTGCTACCGCTATTCTATTGCCTTTAATAGTCCAATATATATATGGCTTCAAATTAAAAATAGCTATTAACTTTCACTAGCTAGATATACCATGTAAAATTTGAAGCATCTTTCTGAGTACTTCACCTTAAACATGCAAAGGAAAACAATTTGACATTGATTTAGATAGGAATATTATATAATACACAATGTTCTTAATGTGCTAAAGCTTCAAAATAAGATAGAAAAGTCTTTGGATTCTGGCGTGAATTCTTCCTTGTAAACAGACTTTGAGGGTACCTGTAAGAATAATGTTAAGTTGCTTTTTTCCTTCAGAGACAGGAAGATTTAGAAGTACATTTAGGACAGTTTAGTACTTGAATCTAGCTAATAAAAAATCAAAATAATGTGACTTTTTCTGTTGTGTAGTTTATAATTATCATTATTGTTGTTGTTTTATTTGTTTAAGTAACAAATCATCCAGGTCAATGGATCAATGCTAGAGATTTAAAAAATCAATTTCTAGGATGCATTTTGGACTCATTTAGATGTCTGTTACTTTCTTAAAGTCTTTTGCAGCTTTAGTACTATACCTTGTTCATTCATATCTCTTTAGGTGATCTGATTAACTTGATATTTTGGAACCTTTTGTGTCATTAGGTACAGAACAGATAATGTAAACTGAGTTAAATGACTTCTACAAGATCACGTAATAAATGCCAGAGCCATGATTGAGACCTAGCTGTGGGTCTGACTTTAAAGCCCATGCTCTGAGCTTTGTCACTGTACTGCCACCCAAATTTGCCCTCCCTATGGTCTGGTGTTTTTATTCTTTTCTTTTTTAATATGCTCTTGCATCTTCTGCTAGATCTTTTCTCACTTTAACTCTTGGTTTTCTCTTTAAATGTACCTGAATATTTGCTGTGATCAGGCAGGCTGTCCTTTTAGTTTTTCAGCCAAAATAGTTCTAGTTTATTTTCTAGATATTAGCCCTTGGGTCTTATGAGTTTCTCAGGTCTGGGCTGAAATTTCCTCCGTGTCCCTTGATGATTGGTAAGCGAATATAAATTTGGGCATGGGCTTTCAGAGCCTGCCCTTTCTTGTCTGCCAGTCAGATCTGTTCCCTCAGCCTTCTAGATTCTAGGACTAGTCATAATTCCTCAGCTAGGATATTCTTACTAGACTGAAAAAGGAGCTTTCATAGTTTCACTGGTGTCATGCTACTCTGCCGTACCCTTCTTCTCCCATCTTCTAACCTTCCAACATGGAGTCATGAATGGTGGCACAGTTTGAAAAAGATTGAAGTTGTCCCTAAATCCTTTGGTTTGCATTTAATTTTGTACTCCAAATGTTTTCCACATGACCACTCGATGCAGAGTATAAATGGTGAACCAACATTCTATTAATATAACTATAGCCTATTTATTTATTTTTTTTGAGGTTTTTAAAAAAATTTTTTATTATTATTTTTTCTTAAATAGTTTATTGTCAGGTTGGTTTCCATATAACACCCAGTACTCATCCCAACAAATGCCCTCCTCCATGCCCATCACACTCCTTCCCCTCTCTCCCACCCCTATGCGCCCTCATTTGTTCTCAGCATTCAAGAGTCTCTTCATGGTTTGCCTCCCTCCCCCCCACTGTTTTTCCCCTTCTTCTCTCCCATGGTCCTCCATTAAGTTCCTCCTAATCTTCCTATACGTGCAAACATATGTTATTTGTCCTTCTCTGCCTGACTTATTTCGCTCAGCATAACACCCTCAAGGTCCATCCATGTTGCTACACATGGCCAGATTTCATTGTTTCTCATTGCCATGTGGTATTCCATTGTATAGATGAGCCACATCTTCTTGATGCATTTGTCCGTTGAAAGACACTTAGGCTTTTTCCATGTTTTGGCTATTGTTGAGAGTGCTGCTATGAACATTGGGGTACATGTGCTCCTATGCATCAGCACTCCTGTATCCCTTGGGTAAATTCCTAGCAGTGCTATTGCTGGGTCATAGAGGAGTTCTTTTGTTAATTTTTTGAGGAACCTCCACACTGTTTTCCAGAGGGGGTGCACCAGTTTATATTCCCACCAAGAGTGTAGTTTAAAATTTACTTAAAGTGCTAGTTATTCTATGTTTACTTTATTTCTAGCAGTCCTGCTAAATTATCTAATTAACTCTCATAGTTTGTAAGTCTCTCAGATTATCTAGTTGTATAGTCATATCTATAAAATTATGATAATTCTGGCTCTTCTGCTCTACTGCTTTTAAAAAATGTTTAGTTAATGAACTGAACCCTATAAATTTTAAATAAAAGTGGATAAAATTGGCATCTCTATCTTATTCCTGATTTTAATAGGGATTCTATTAGTATTTCAGCATTAAAATGATTGGTATTTAATTCTAATACTCTTTATCATTTTTAGGATATTTATTTATTTTTCCTTCAGGAATAACTATTGAATTATTTGACAAATTTTTTGAATTTACAAAACTATAGAAATAGCCCTGTCAAGGGGTGGGTGGAGGTAGAGAAAGGGGAGGGCATAGGTGAGCGGTGGGGTTGGGGCGGGGCTAAAACAAAACAAAACAAACAAAAGAAATAGTCCTGCATTTTCTTGTGTCTGTGTAATTAGTGATGTTTGTAGATTTCCTGATGTGCCATGCTTGGTTTCCTGGAATAAGTTTAATTTATCATGATGGCTTATTGTTTTTAAGATGTGTTAAAGTCGCTGATAGTTAGTTTAGATATCTGTATTTATATTCGTAAGTGTGGTTAGGATTTTTCTCCATGTGTGGCATCTATGTGAGATTTTAGCATTGAGCTATGTCGGTGTTGTATAAAATAGGAGGTTTTTCCTTGTATGCTCAAGGACAGTTTGAATAACAGAAATACCTCTTCCTTTAGAGAACCTTTTTATGTCACAATCTAGTGATATAATATAAGTAGTTCCTATTATAAGTAGTTGATAGTTCTAGCATAGGAATAGGTAAGTTAGACCAGGAAAAAATGAACAAAACACCCAGAAACAGACCGAAGTAACATACAGTTAATATATTCAAAAGTATCAGGTCAAATTGATCAGGAAAGGATGCATTATTATTATAAATGATGCTGGGAAAATTAGCTTTCTATTTGGAAGACAACAATATTAGAACACTATCTAATGCCATGTTCTGAAATAAATTTTTATTGAGTTAATAATCTTGATGTAAAAATGAAAACTATTAAGGCATTTGAAGAATATACGGGCACAGTATTTTCTGGGGAGCTTTCTTAAGATGGTAAGGAGCCTGGAACCATCAGGGAAAAATTGACAGGTACATTTAGATTAAAAATGAAAAAAAATTCATGTGCAAAGGACACTTATAAACAAAGTCAAAGGGAAATAGCAAAGTGGCAAACCTACTGGCAGATATTATCTGTCACACTTATAAAAGATAGAAGTTTTTAAATAGTAACAAAAAAGAAGGTAAAACTCAGAAATTTGGGGCATAGTATGTGACATACTATGGAAGAATAGTTAGGCAATAAATATATGATTACTTTGGCAATATCTCTTACATATTTAAATATATAATCTCTTAAATCCAGAAATTCCAATTCTAGGTCTTTATCCCACAGAAATAATAGCATTTATACTTTTAATCATGTGTGTGTTTGCATATATGTATTTGCATATTTGGCTAACCTTAGGAAGTTGGGAAGGATACACTTCAAATTGTTAATGTAACTGTTAGGGTGGTTCTTTTGGAGGATAAAGTTGGATGGATGTCATTTTAATGACATCTGCATATAGCTGTTAGTGTAACAGCTCATGTAAGTAAGTTAAACTAGTAATATTAAAAAAATTGTTTTAACAGTTATTTTCTTTTATATTGTGATCATTTAACTATACCCATTTTGGATTTAGAAAAATATTTGATATGCCAGATATAAAGATTATTGTGAGCTATTTGTTTGATATATACTCTTTGTAAAGAGCATTTTTACAACAATATCAAAATGGCTTCTTCCTATGCAAAAAGAAATTAGCTCTGGTCCTTAGAAGAAAGTTTGTAGTAGAAAATTTGGAATTTTGAAGAATATTTTAAATATATAGTTTTTAAGTTTAGGATTTTATGTACATGTGTGACACTTTGGATGTGGTAAACTGCCATTTGGGCAGATGCTGTGTCTTGCTTAATTTACATTTTTAGTTCTTAGCATAGTAAGCAGTACTATTTGTTGGTTATTTCCCTTGATTTGACTGATTCTTAGCTCTTGTAGCATTTGGACATTTGTTGCATGAAGCTGTATAGTCTTATTCCTGACAGTTTCTAAAATGATATGAAATCTTCCTAATTTAGATTGAAAGCAAATATTTAAGTAATTTAGGCAAGTTTTAGTTATTGAAAAGTTTATTCGTAAGTTTCTTATATGAATACATTATATTTATATTGGCTCAACTAATTTTCCTTTTAAATAATATGGACAGTATTTCTTTCCTTAATTCAGACTACTTGAATATCCTTTAGTTTAGACTACAATCCATGAGCCAAATCTGGAATTCTGCCTGTTTTTGTCAATAAAGTTTTACTGGACACAGCCATGCTCATCCATGCATGTTTTGTCTGTGGCTGATTTTGTGTTCTAAAGATGGAGGCAGGTAGTTGTGACAGGCAATATATAGCCAATGGAACTTAAAATATTTACATTCTGGCCTTTTGTAGAAAAAATAGCTAAATCTTGCTCTAGAACATTGGAATAATGACTGTGGATTCCCTTACATACCTCTCTTAAGGCTCTCAAGGGAACCTTTGAGCCAATTCTGTTTTTTTTTTTGTTTTCCATTCTCAAAAAATAATTTATTAAAATGTATCAATCACATGGTGAGTCAATTTTGTAGTAGTACATACAAACATTCACAGATTTGTTACAAAGAAAACTGAACAGGTTTTGAAGTGAAGACATTTTAGTTGTGGAAATGGAGAGCAAAGTTAAGTACTTTATTTTTTAATTTGCAGAGACTGAAATGCTTAAAGATATGTGTGCATTAAAAAAAAAGTTAAAAAAAGCATGTTATCACCTTACACAGTGTGATTAAGCCTGCCTATTTCTAGAAAGAGTGATTTGAAGCTGAGAATAACTGCACGAATGGAACATTAATACACTTAGAGGGGACTGCTGAAGAAGGGTGAAATTTCTACTTCATGTGTCTTCCAGTGGGAATTCCTAGATTCCTAACTAATGTCATCATGAACATAAAATCGTTATGCCACAATGATTGAAAAATCATTGCCTCGTAGAGTCTGTTCACTACATTTGTGGTTATGTTTCCATACCACTATTCATTTTTTCTTTTTGTATTTTTTAAAAATTTGCATCCAAGTTAGTTAGCTTATAGTGCAACAATGATTTCAGGAGTAGATTCCTTAATTCCATTTAGCGCATTCCCCTTCCAGCTACCCTCTGTTTGTTCTCCATATTTAAGAGTCTCTTATGTTTTGTCCCCCTCCCTGTTTTTATATTATTTTTGCTTCCTTTCCCTTATGTTCATCTGTTTTGTATCTTAAAGTCCTCATATGAGTGAAGTCATATGACATTTGTCTTTCTCTGACTAATTTTGCTTGGCATAATGCCCTCTCGTTCCACCCACATAGATGCTAATGCAAGATTTCATTCTTTTTGACTCCTGAGTAATCCTCCATTGTGTGTGTGTGTTTATACATATATGTATATATATACATATATGTATATACACACATACATACATACATATACACCACATCTTCTTGATCCATTCATCTGTTGATAGACATTTGGGCTCTTTCCATACTTTAGCTGTTGTTGATAGTGCTGCTATAAACATTAGGGTGCATGTGCCCCTTCGAAACAGCATACCTGTGTCCCTTGGATGAATACCTAGTAGTGCAATTGCTGGGTCATAGCGTAGTTCTAGTTTTAATTTTTTGAGGAAACTCCACACTGTTTTCCAGAGTAGCTGCACAAGTTTGCATTCCCACCAGCAGTGCAAAAGAGACCTCTTTCTCCACATCCTCGCCAACATCTGTTGTTGCCTGAGTTGTTAGTGTTAGCCATTCTGACGGGTGTGAGTTGGTATCTCATTGTGGTTTTGATTTGTATTTCCCTGATGATGAGTGGTGTTGAGCATTTTTTCATGTGTCATTTGGCCCTCTGGATATCTTCTTTGGAGAAGTGTCTATTCTATTCGTGTCTTTTGCCCATTTCGTCACTGGATTGTTTTTTGCGTGTTGTTTGGTAAGGTCTTTATAGATTTTGGATACTAACTCTTTATCTGATATGTCATTTGCAAATATCTTCTCACATTCTGTCGGTTGCCTTCTAGTCTTGCTGATTGCCAATTCTGTTTATGTTCACAATTTGTTTAGTCAGATATTTACCGAGCACCAGTTTTATGAGAGGCATATTTCTAGGTGCTGGAGACACAAAGAGGGAACAGTGAACAAAGCACATAAAGTTCCTGCCCTTATGAAGTTGTCATTTGATGGTAGGGGAGACAGATAATTAAGCATGAAGATTATCTTCTTAAAAAGAGTAGATTTTTTTTTTTGAAGGCTCATGGATTTATTAACAAAATATGATACTGACTTAGGTTTGCCAACTATATTGCACCTTGGCTAAGTATTATATGGGATACAATGTCCATTGTTATTGAGACATAATTATTTTCTATATTGGTGAAGTTTGTGAAGGTCTCTCTCCCTTTTGGGTAATTTTGGGTTCCTAATCTGTTATTAAGTTTAATTTCTCACTGTGGATGTTGGGAGCTCAATAGTTCTATGTAAAATTCATTGGCTAACTATATGTTAAATTTTCTATTAGAGAAATTCAATGCTAAAATAAAAATGAATACTTAACACATATCAAGTACTCTGCCACATAGTTTAAATATCATACCTCATTTACTCCTGGTAACTTTATGAGTTATTATTTTAATTCCCTTGTTTGGGATGATAAAAGCAGAGTTCGGAGAGGCAAGGTGAAGCAGTTCACGGATGGCACCTGTTCACGTTAGCATCTTGGCCTGACTCTCTCCAGGGCTGCAGCTCCTGGCCAAAGTGCTGCTTAATACTTTTTTGAGATTTGCAAATAAGTGTTTTCAAGATGGCATTAATATAAATGGAACTTTACTTTTAATTGCCTTTTAATCTACCTATTTCTTTCCTTCCTTCCTTCCTTCCTTCCTTCCTTCCTTCCTTCCTTCCTTCCTTTTTCTTTCTGATTATTAACCTTTGAAGATAAAAGAGATAATTTTTTTCTTTTTCTTTCTGTATGTGTTTAAGATAATATAATCCAGGGAAGTGGAAAAGAAGGAATCTGCAAAAAGCGATTAATTTCATCAGGAAGTTCAAAAGGTACATCAGCAGAGCAAGACACAGGGAAAAAGTGCAAAAGTGCTGATCAGGAAGAGTGTGTCATTTCATCCAAGGTGATTTTTTAAAAAATTATTATTTGGGGGTGCCTGGCTGGCTCCTTTGGTAGAGTGTGTGACTCTTTTTTAAATTTAAAAAAATTTTTTTTAAAGTTTATTTATTTTTTGAGAGACAGAGACGTGTGAGTGGGGCAGGGGCAGAGAGAGACACAGAGTCACAGAATCCAAAGAAGGCTCCAGGCTTTGAGCTACCAGCATAGAGCCTGACGTGGGGCTTGAACTCTGAACCACGAGATCATGACTGGAGCTGAAGTTGGACACTTAACTGACTGAGCCACTCCAGTGCCCCTAGAGTGTGTGACTCTTGATCATGAGGTTGTAGTTCGAGCCCCACAGGTGTAGAGATTACTTAAAAACAAAATCTTTAAAAATATTTATTACTTGATCATTTATTTTCTTCATCAAGTGTTCTAGATGAGAATTATATGTTGTATGCAGCAAGGAAAAACCCAAACTGCTATTTATTACTTAGTTTATGAAGATAAAAACTAGACCAGGTTTTTTTGGCTTACAAAAACTAATATAATACTTGCTTTGTAGAAAACATACCTATTTAATTTAGAAATTTTCAGACTGGAAAAAAAATGGAGACCACTTGACTCTGGTTGTAATTGGTACCTCCATTCTGAAAACCTGGTTTCTTCTATTTCATTAGTCATCCTCAGACTGCATGTAGCCACCTGTTTCTTGATACCTGTGAAGAACAACTGATAGGCTAGTTCTTAATAGTCTATTGCAGGATTATTTCTGGGCTAATTTACAATATTTAGAAACCTTCTCTTTCGTCTTTCAGTTTTTGCTAACTCATTACAATTGTTTGGCTGACTTAAGCATTCTTTAATACTGGGTACTTAATGAAAATGGGACCTATTATTGGATGCATTTAAAATGAGAGAATTAGAGAAAGAGAGAGAGCATGGGTGAGCAAGCCCCAGGGCGGAAAGTTCAGGTGTTTTTCCTCTTCAGAGAGGGGTGGCTTTAGGTAACATTTTTTTGCGATCTGTAGTCCTGTGGCAGAGCCCTGTGGGGCCTCATCTTTTTAGTCTTGGTGGGAGCCAAAGGAGTAGGATTGGTTTTAGAATAGTGTACACTGGGCTGATTGAAATGCTATCAGGTGTTCCAGAGGGTTGGGCCTTTTATATAGTACTCACCTCACTCCTGCCTCATTAGAAAAGATCTGGCTTCTCACTGGATCGTTTCTTCCAGCTAGGGAAGTGGGGTCTAATCCCTGTGTGGTCAACTCCTTTGCTTACTTGTGGAGTCAGGTTTAATAAACAAAATGTTTTCTAACTCACATATATTGACCATTAAAGCTATTAAGATAAAACTTGTTTACTTTGAGCCCTCATATGCTCTATTTTCTGAACATATTAATATGACTGCCTTTTGTTTCCAAGAAGAAAGATTATTTTTTTCAGAAGAAAATTTGTAGTATATATATTTTGCTATGTTTATCCCAACTCATTACCCAAGCTTGGTAATTACAAAACTTAAGAACACTTTCTTAATTGATAGATTGCAGGGAGTAGTGAGCAGTAAACAGATCCAAGATATTTGAGGTATTTGTGAGATTTTGAAGACACACAAAGTAGACTATCTACAAGATTTGTGACTCTAATAATGTCTGGTCATGAAGATAATTGCTCTGAAATTGTCCATATTTCTCATTAATTCTTACATCTTTCTGCAGCTCCTTACGGGCTATATAATTGTCCATTTTGGGAGTGAACACGAGGGTGCTTGATCTAACTTTAAAGAAGTAATCTACATAATTCACATAATCTAATTAGGCCTCTGTTATAAACAGAAGGAAACCTACCTGAAACAACTTAAGCAAATAGTATTTTAAAAAAAATTTTTTTAATGTTTTATTTATTTCTAGGAGAGAGAGAGAGAGAGAGAGAGAGAGAAAGACAGCGTAAGCAGGGGAGGGTCAGAGAGAGAGGGAGTCACAGACTCTGAAATAGGCTCCAGGCTCTGAGCTGGCAGTCAGCACAGAGCCCGATGCGGGGCTCTAACCCACAAACCGCGAGATCATGACCTAATGAAAGTCAGACGCTTAACCAACTAAACCACCCAGGTGCCCCTTAAGCAAATAGTATTATAAAGCGTGTTAACTGTTGCTGGGAAGCCGGGTCCCAGGAATGCCAGAGCTCTACTTGGCCAATTGATTGCTCTTCCTTAGGGTTTCTGAGGGAGATTCACCTCTCCTAGTACAGGAGAAATAAGCCTCAATTTTCCATAACCTTTTCATAACCCTTTATGCATGTGTCTCTGGTAAAGTGGGGGCCATGCTCTGTCCCTGTCCAGTTTCAGTTTTAACACTGGTTGGCAGCTGGTCCTGAGGAGTTTCTATAGTGTGGAGCAAGTGAGGAAAAAAGTTAAAAGTGAGAGAAAACTAGAGGCTGGGCCCACCTATTTAGTCAAATGGCAGGAGGATTACCAGTTACAAGGGACTACGAACAGTTTGGCCAGGCCTATAGAGTAGACTTGGGTCAATTTACTTGGGTCAATTTAGAAAGAATCACATTCTCTTGGGGAGAATTGGTGAGAAAGGAAGTGGAAAGAAGGGGCAGAAATCACCTTGACCCTCCTGGGCCGTATTCCTGAGATCCTGATTCAGTCGGTCTGCAGGGCCTGTGCATCGTATTATTATAAATGAATTCCCACAATTTTAAGGGCACTGAAGGGTGAGAGCTACTGATGTACCATCATTTAACACCTTAGAGGAAACTGCGGACCAAGATCATATTGCTAGAGACCTCAGGACTCAAATGTAAGTCTTTCCATTTGGGGTATAATGGATTTCTCTACCACACAAATTAGACTGTCTACAGGCTTTGTGACTCAATGTCTGGTCATGAAGATAATTGCTCTGAAATTGTCCATATTTCTCATTAATTCTCTTACATCTTTCCGCGGCTTCTTACAGGTTATGTAATTGTCCAATTTGGGAATGAACATGAGGGTACTTGAATCTACTAATGTTAAAGAAATAATCTACATAATTCACATAATCTAATTACTGCTCTGTCACAAAAAACAGAAGGAAGCCTAACTGAAACAACTTAAGCAAATAGTATTATAAAGCGTGCTAACTGTTCCTGGGAAGCAAGCTACCCTAATATGTAGTGAGTTAACAGTGTTTTATTATTTCTGATAATTCTAGGGGTTGGCTGGATATAGCAGTTCTTTCATGACACATTTTTCGTGTTGAGCTGGGCTACATTCTGCTGGGAACTCAGCAGAGGCTGGAACATCCAAAATGGCTTTCGTTACATGAATGGTGCTTCCACAATGGTTGATTGAATGGCTGGTTGCTGGCTGGGCCTCTGTTTCTCCACTTAATGATTAAGTAATCTAGGCTGAGCATCTTCACCTGACAGCTGGATTTCAAGGGAGTGAAAGTAGAAGCATCCTTCTCTTAAGGCCTAGGATTGAAACTGGTACATTGTCATTTCTGCTGCATTCTTTTGGTCAGAGCAAGTTACCAGGCCAGGCTAGATTCAAGGGGAGGGGATAAGGACTTCCCTGCCTAACGGATAACGGGATGGAAAGAATTGTTGGCAGTCATCTTTGATGACTATCACACAAAGATGGAGGAATAATTTAGTTTCCGGAATGGAAAAGAAAACAGCAAGAACTATGGACCAAAAGACCAGCTGGGACAAGGGGCTTGATCACAATCATGTTGGTCTATGGTTTTACTATTTTTACCTCTTTAATCGTTCTTCATTGCTGTTGGTAGGCTTGTTTCACCTTGAGTACAACATGGTCACTGGTAGCTCCAGGCTCGTGTCATCTAGTTGCTCAGCTTAAGAGGAAAAATGAGTTTCTCTGTAGCTGCTTCTGTGTTAAGTTCTAGGGACTTGGGTCATGAAATCTCCATTTAGACCATTTATAATGGTTGGGGAGATGAAGTCGTTTCATTATCCCTTTCTGGGTTATATATGTACTTATTATCAGACAGATGGAGGAAAGGCGGTTGAGAAAGAAATAAATAGTAGGTATTGTATTTGGGGGCGATACTATAGTTAGATCTGGATAAATCAGAGAGGGGAGAAAACTGGTAGTTTTTAAGTTGGTGGATATCAGCCTAACAGATGAGTTTTGGAACAGTTGAGAACACTTGGGGTATACCATAAGGTGAAAGAGCAGATGTGAGGAAGAAAGGACTAGGACTTTCAGAATTTCAGTGTATCTAGAGGGGATTCTCTTGTTTTGACTTGGCCTCTGTTGATCAATCAGGCCTCTGTTGTCAAGGTGGTCAGTTAGGACAAAGAGCCAAACTGAAAGTGACTCAAGCCTTTTTTTACATAGTGCGACAGTGCAACCAAAGGGGGAAATGAGCTGTCAGCTTCCCAGTGTTACATTTTGTTCCAAGGAACAGCACTTGGCAAGGGTCAGGTAGAAGCAGCACAGGTATGGAGAATCTTCTAACTGCTGAGGATCCCTGAACCAAAGGCTTCTGCCTCTTTCTCGACCAGGAGGAAGAGGAAGAGCTAGGAGTGGAAAGGTACTGAGTCGAGTCAGAGTAGAGAAAAGTGCCTGTGCCTCAGCCAAGGCCCCCCCCATAGGGAAATCTCAGTGGAGATCCCAGGGAAGGGCCTTAGCCAATCGCCCCCTTCCCATACACACCTCTCCAAAGAGACTTCTGGATGGAGGCACCTGGGCAAGGAATGTACCATAAGTATGCCTCGTCCAGCACGGCTTGAGTCCTTACTTACAACTCCCTCCAGAAAACTGTAACATACTGGCTGTGTACTATGTCTGTATGGGGGGGTGGAGGGGCAGGGAAACTTCCCCCATGAAGCCTACAAGCCAAAGACTTGTGATTGTCTAAACTTGTACTTGAAAGATCACATATAGGATTTTGGCCTAGAGCCAGACTCCTCAGTCTATACCTTGCTCTACTGAATGCTGTTCCACATGAGTTCCAGACAGACCAAGAGGCCTGAGTGTACTCCAGTCAGCTGCTGTCTGTTCCTTTTAATCTG